GCTGGAGCAAGTCTACCGCAGGGAGCAGTGCGGAGCCAGGGTGGCCCTCAGGCAAGTGAGGATGTATGTGTTAAGAAGGGGCCAGGAACCCGCACCAGCCCTCTCCGGCTCTGACGCTGATGGGAGCCAGCCCTGGGCGGGGAGAGGGACACGCGTGAAATCCCAGCGGGAACTGCCTGCTAGGTCAGTGGCTAAGAATCAGAATGAAGGCTCAGGCCACCTAGCACCGCGGGCTGGCACAGACGCCCCTGCACTACCCACTAGGTGCTGTCACTTTGGCCAGGGCGGGTCGCATTGGGACCCACATTCCAGGAAGATCAGAAGTCCAGGAGGAGGCGGGCGCACAGTGTAGGCACTGGGTGAGTGGACTGTGTCTGAGTGGGCTGGGCAGCGCCAAGGCCCTGGCCACACCACAGGCGTTTCCCTGGAGAGAGCCGGCTGCACATGCGGGAAGTTACGTTCCAGCCCAATTCCAGGACCTGTGGTGGCCCAGGCACCCTCCCTGCTGGAGGGGGGAACCAGGAGGCCCTTCCAGCCCCCCGTCCCAATTTCCCTGACTCTGTGCACCCCCGGGAAGACGGAAGCAAGTGGCAGTGCCATGGGTGATGGTTCCGACCAGAGAGAACGTGGGCAGGACCCCAGCGACCCTGTCCCCACCCTCTGGAGGGTCAGGGGTCAGGGGTGATGCAAGGGCAGTGCGAGGAACCCCCGACCCAGCCCAGTGGAAGAGGCTCAGCCCCATGGTTTTTCTACACATTTTTATTCTTTATTTTTTTTTTTAACAGCTCGATCCTCTTGTGAAAAGGAAAGAATCCGAAGATGAATTAGTCAATATAACATTTGTTTCTAACAGCAACTGATCCTCACTACAGAGAACAATAAGCAAAAGACCTGTGGCACGTTGTCTTTGGAAAGATCTTCTGCAAAGTTTTCTTCTTAAAAAAAAAAAAGAAAAAAAGAAAATAGATTACATAGGTCTCACAGAGCATGGTGTCTTTTTGAAAAGACTATACAAGGCAGCTACATCCCACTGACGGCAGCCCCGAGCTGGGGGCGCATCGCCGAGGGCGGTGGGGCACGCGGACCCCAAAAGAGCCAGCGTGGTCTGCAGACTCCAGGGGGCTGCCCCCACCCCGCCACTGCACATCAGGGGTGACAGAGCTGGCACAGTGCCCCGCAATCAAGGGAAAACGCGTGTCATTCGAGAGACGGACCGGTGATTCTCATTTCTCAAATGGACAATGTATTTCATTTTTTTAAAACAATTTTAATAATACCAAGATTTATCTTTTTCTCTAAAGTTATAAGAAAGCAAAAATATATATATATAATAATATAATATAACATATAATGGTAATAAATAAAAAAAAAAAGGCAAACCTGCTCAGGTATCATCCAAGACATGATCACATTCAGAAGAAAAAAAATTCGAACAAGATTTAGGACACATGTGCACGAGCGAACGCGCACGCACACACACACACGCACACGCACACGCACACGCACACGCACACACACAGAGTGTACACTTGGTATGTGACAGGGACGTGCAGTCAAGGGGACCCAAGGCGGGTTAATACTGTCCGTGTTCAGCGTCACTTCAACGCCTGCCGGAAGCCAAGCTCCCCGTCCGGACTCGCTGTTCCCGGATGGTCCCCTGCCTTCCTGCCATCCCCAGGGCATTTCTTTCCCCATCCCGTACCTAGTACTCCCGTGTGAGAGAATCAACTGACCCTCCCTCCCGCCCCCACAGGGAGGCAAAGATGACCGTCACCTTAGGAAAGGGGTTGGTGGCTGGTGCTTGCCAAGTCCCGGGGGAGAAGGCAAGAACAGGGCTGGCGACCCCGCCCGGCCCCGGGCACTGAGATACCAGCACGACCGACTGCGGTCGGGGGGGTCTCCACCATCCAGGAAGCCCCCAACACCGTCTGATGGGAAACCCCAGGGCCGTGGGGAGGGGCTGCGGCCACCAAGCAAAATGACAGACAATGAAGAAGGCACAGGAAAACACTCAGCATCCGTCAGCTCGACACAGGACCAAAGGCGAAGGAGAGGAACCCAGAGACAAGGGGGTTGGGGGAAAGAGGGAGGGAACCCGGGCGGGCACCCCCAGCCCTCTGCCGGGAGCCGACGGCCCCTCGGAGGAGCAGAAAGACAAAGGGGACCCCGAGGGGCAGAGGCAAAGTTTGTCAGAGTCTGAGTAGTGTCTGAGAAAATAAAGCCTTGGGACGAGGGGAGAACACGAAGGGCCGGCATCAAGCCTCTCCCGATGAGTTACCTTCACACGCACAAATACGCCTCAACTTAAGGAATCCGAAGGACACAAGGTGCGAGAGCCAATCTCAAAGCCACAGCAAAAATAAATACAGCGTTATTTCTAAGTTAGAGCTGGTCAAAAAAGGCACAGTCAAATCATCATTTATCTGTCTCTTGGTCTATGTGCAAGTGAGCGCGCGCGCACACACACACCCACACCCACCCACCCACCCACACACACACACAGCACTTCTACACATCAGAGATAAAGAGTTCTGTTCACTTTGGAGGGCACAGTGGTTTTGAATTCGAAACTTACTGAGCAGGAATCATAACGAAGAGCAAACTCCTGCTCTCACCAACGTGAGTATTGAATTTGGCTCCCACCGGCGGTGCTCAGGGCTCACTCCTGGGGACCGACGTGGTTGCCAGGGATTAGAGTCGGGTCGTCCGCGCCGACCCCTGTACTAGCCCTCTGGTCCCCAACATTAGTATTTAAGGTACCGATTAAGGCAAGTTTTTAGCTAGAAACACAGTTGGTTTGCTTCCAAACATCCTTGAACTAGAGGATAGACACAGGGAGAGAAGTGTGGTCCAATTCGTCGAGGAAAATAGGCTTAATGTTTGGTCAAATGGGTCTATAAAGTAAAGGTGCTTTCATTACAAAACAAAAACAAAACAAAACAAAAAAGGAATCAGATGCTTTTCCATTGCAGTGCTGGAGTAAGCGTTAACATCAGACCAGCTCTGGCCGCCGCTCTGGCTGGAACAACACCCTTTGCCTGTCGCCGTCTCACTCTCTGCATTCGGAAATGCAAGTTCCACGATTCACATTTTAACCACTTCCAGAACGCGGGAAAACACCACTGTGAGAGCACAGAAGTGTATCGTCACTTCCTAGGAGACACACGCAAAAAACACACGCGCGTACACACACGCGCGCGCGCGCGCGCACACACACACACACACACACACACACACACACACACACACACACACACAGGCGAAGCTGTAGTGGCAAAGGCCAGGCAAGGTTTTATGCTCAGTTTTCACTCAAGGAATTCCGTGTTTGTTGCCTCACTGGTGAAGTATGTGCTGATACTGTTGCCATAAGAACCTGGCATGTCCAAGTCCTCCCAGTGACCCTCCCCCCACCCCAGCACACAGTGACGAAAGTGCAAAGATCCAATAGCTTCCTATGTACAGCTGCAACAGCGGGAAGGCTGCGTGGACGCCAAGGATTCATCCACTCCCTCCCCACACTCCGTCCCCAAGGCGGCCGTCAGGAATTCTCCTGCAGGCTCAATGCATGTGGCAGAAGGACAGGAACTATTGCACCATCCAAGAGCACAAATCGACCTCTGGAGAGCCACTCACGTCTCAAGCAATCAATGAAACAGGAAAACCGGAAGCCCTCGGACCAGGCCGGGGAGGAAGCGACCCGCTCTCCAGGCCTGTCTGGGGTGTGGACGGGGAAACGTCTTTTTCAATCGTGTGTGCTTGGGGGTGCTGGGCTGCACCCGGTCGCCCCTGCCCCGAGTAGGGAAAGGGACAGTGGCACCACTGGGCAGCTGGGGCACCAAGGCTGCCATCGTCCCTGGGGACAGGCTGGCTAAGTGGCAAGGAAGCAGCCCACGCCGGCACCTCTCACGGGGTGAAGCCTACACCTGGCCCCTGCCACACTTGATCTGCTCATCGGAGTTGTTCCACGCGTCACGCGGGTGTCAGACATGCGACGGGGAGAGAAGACCCTCTTCCCCGAGTGCCGGTGGTCCTGAGACTCACGCGCTCGGCACCCCTGCAGCATTTGGAGAGCAACCAAGCCCAGGGGAGGAAGGAGGACGAGCCAATGGGGAGGGGGCACACCCCACCCTCCACTTGAATCCAAGTGCAAATGCTACTACCTCTTTCTTGAAAGGGATCAAAAAACACTGCACTCAAAATAATGCTTCCGAGAAAAAAAAAAAAAAAACTCCCGTGCCTCAAGGAGAAAGCAGGTGAGCGTGTGCCTGTGGGAATTCGGATTGCATTAGTTCACTTCCGCGCACTCAAAATGAATCCGTTTGGCGCACCCCGGCCACGGCCCTCGTGACCGAGGGGGACCCACGCAGCTCTTTCTCCCTGCCGAGTCTGGCTGACTGAAAATACTCCGGAATGAAGGCATGTGGTGATGGGTCTTTTTTTTTTTTTTGTCTCTCCCCCAACCCCCCCTCCCCCCGTTTTTTTTTTAAAGTCTAATTAACCACCCCAAATCCCCACATCTTCTCAGTGAGTTTATTTCTTCTAGACAATTAAGGGCTCTGAGGGTCTAGTTTTTCTATAAATATAAAAGGATTTGTAGCAGAAAAATATAGCCTCTCTAGAAAGTAGATTTCATTTTCCTTTGTTCACTGACAAAACTGCGTTGGCTTTAGTGAGTTACCACAGAACCGTCGGCCAGAGCTCAGTGCCCCTGAGACCCAAGACCAGACCTCTCGGAGCTCCATCCCCTGCCTGCTGGCTCCTCCCTGCGGTGGGGCCTCCGGGTATCTGGGGGGACAGAAAGTCTCCCTGTGGTGGGCCTTGGGCAACGGGGGGGGGGCCTGGACCTCTGCTTGACTCTGTTATCAAGACCAGAAAGTGGGGTGCGAGGGAGCCTCTCGTAACACATGTTTTACAGATGACCGCTAAGAGTTCATAAAACAAGTATTTCACCCAGAACTTTCTGAAAGGAAGGAAACAGAAAAAAAAAATTGCTCACAAAACCCTGCAACAAAATCTGCTGTTAAAAATGTTGACCCCAGGAGTGGACCAGCACGGCCGCACAGAGATGGGATGACGTGGCTTTGGAAGCCTCATCCCACCTGCAACGCGTCCTGCTGGTTCGCACGTGGCGGAAATGTTTCTAGACCATTCCCTTCCCAAGGCCCCCGAGGTGCCGCGGCACTTTTGTCCGTTGACTCCGGGAGCGAGGTGGCCGTGGGGTGGGCCCTCCGTCCCCTGCCCCCGCTGGGTCTTCTGTGCCGGGCGCACAGCTCCGAGTTGGCACGGACGAGCGCACCGGCCACCTCGGGGCTTCTCTGGGGCCGGGTAAACTGGCGAGACAACATGAGACCGTTTCAGAGGCTTCCAATGTGCAAAGAGTCCCCAAGGCGTTCCATCACCGCAGCCTCCAGGCGCCCGCTCACGGCTTCAGGTGCTGGAGGCTCTGCCTGGCGTGCTGTACCAGGTCGGCCAAGCTGCTGTTGAGTGCCAAGGCACACGCGTTCGTGCCAAGCTGAGCAAGAACATCTGCAAGACGAAAACGGGAACCAGGTAAACATACGTGCACACACAAAGATAAACACACACACACACACACACACACACATCAAGGAAACTATCTGCATGAATTTTACTTTCGGTTGTGTGAGCTACTACGGGTTGCCTGCAATTCACTAATCACAGCAAGCTTTTCTCGATCTGTTATAATGCCCCGCGATTATACGTCTCCGTAGCCCTCTGCTATTAGGGGCAGGGGTGCTATGAGGTTTGTGCTTTTTAGCTCTGTGGCTGGCACTGGAAAACACAACATTTCGACTTTAGTGTCCTGAAGGTACTGATTACAAAACAAACAAATCCCACATCAAACACTCAGCATTTAGGTGCTATGGGATGACAACTGATTTGTCCTTTCTCCCTTGCCACAAGGAGCTTAGGTTTATCAGGTTACACCCATCACAGTGTTTCCAAGTCTCTCCTATTCCTTTTTTTATCTGTAATCTTTTCTCTATGCTCTCTTCCCCAACCAGTTCATCAGCTTTCCCCCTAATCAGAATCTGTTAATTTGCAAGGTCAGATCCTTCTAGGATATTGAACTTGTAAGTTACTATCGCCTTTCTCCTCTCCTTACATCTTATGAATAGTTTACTTTAAAACAATGTCCTTGTTGTATAGATACAGGAAGACAATTAATATTATGCTTTTGTAACTTAGGCTTTGAATCTTATTTATCCCTGGGCATCTGTTTTCTCGACTTAAGCCTCAGTTGCCCTTAGATCCTAGCGACGCAATAGCAGGGTCTCAACGAGGGACTGAATGGACCGAGGGCAAGCTGTGAGCTACCCTGGCATCGAAATGGGCCAGGCAAAAGTGCCACGATTCTTAAGAGCTTGATCATGGACAGATGCTGTCATGATCCAAAAACAATGACGAGACTAGGACCCTGCTAGGGATAGGAAAGACTAATCTGGCCTGAGCACTGTAGTCCGAGATCAAGATGGCCCTAGGAGAGCAATTCTATAAGCATAATGTATCTCTTACTGTGTCCATACAAAATGATTAATATTATGAATGTTCAGATGTTTGTTGGACAAGGAGAGGAGAAACACACCCATGGGATTCCACCCTTGGGTGGGTCATCCTGCTTTCAAGAGGCAAGTACTCGAGACCTACTTTGTGGGTTCTCTGAGATTGAGAACGAAAATCTGCCTTCATGCCAAGGAGCCCAAGAAAGAACTGTGTCAAAGTTGTGAAGCAGAACGGAGACAATACAATCCATTTCTCAGGAGAACTAAGCAGGACACATCACTGAAACTATCATTTTTTTGTTGTTTGTTTAGGGGTCACACACGGTGGTGCTCAGGGCTGACTTCTGGCTCTTACTCAGGAATCACTCCTGGCGGTGCTTGAGGGACCATGTAGGATGCCGGGGATCGAACCTGGGTTGACCGTGTGCCAGGCAAGCGCCTTACTCACTGTACTATCTCTCCACCCACTGAACTATAATTTTTCAAAAGAAATAACTAAAGAAAGAAAAGCAAGCCTTCACCCCTGTGAACAGAACTGCGGGCTCTGGGGCGGGGGACAGTGAAGGCCTTCGGGACAGTGTTGCAGGGCCCGGGGACTCAGTGAAGGGCAGTGATGCCGGAGCACTGTGGGCTAGAGCAGACCGCAGACCCCGGGAAAGGTGCAGAGACACCCGGGCCGCCCCCCCAGGCCAGGTCACCTTTATTCTTCCGGGTGAGGCCCTCCGCCTGTTCCCAGAGCTCGAAGGCAGTGAGGACGTGGGAAGTGATGGTGACATAGGACGACGTCATGTTCTGGATGGTGACGGGCATCCCGCTGGTCCCCACCCCGCCAGCGCTGGCAGGAGACGGCATCGGAGAGAGGGGCGAGGGGGCGCCCGTGTTTCTGGGAGGGAGGCAGGAGGAGAGACGTGGTCAGTGGCCGCAGGCACGGGTCTCCCGCCTCCGAGTCCCAAAGCTGCCCCGGGAGTGGCAACATGAGGCTAGAACATCTGGCCTTCAGCGTTAGAGGCTGGCCTTGGCCCCTGGCCGCACAGGGCAGGCTGGCAGGCCTGTACACACACACACACACGTTCCCATCCGTGCTTGCATGCACACACGCACACACACACGCACACACGCGTCCCCATCCATGCACACACGCACAAACACACGTCCCCATCTACGCACGCATGCACACACATCCCCATTCATGCATGCATGCATGCACACACTCACGCACACATGTCCCCATCCATGCACGCACGCATGCACACACATACACACACGCCCCCATCCATGCACGCAGGCACACACACACATCCATCCATTCATGCATGCACGCACACATACATGTCCCCATCCATGCACGCACGCGCGCACACACACACACACACACACACACACACACGTCCCCATCCGTGCAGGCATGCACACATGCATACACACACGCACACATACATCCCCGTCCATGCATGCATGCGCACACACACATTCCCATCCATGCACGCACACACACACACACACACACACACACACACACACACACACACGTCCCCATGCATGCACGGCCTACCCAGCTGCTGAGACCCGCCTTCGCCCGTGGTTACGGCCAGATCGCTCCTGCCGCCACCCCACGTTCGCCCAGCGCCATGGAGGGGGCCCTGGGTCTGCGCCCCCGACTTTCCCAGACACCGGGACCCAGCGGCCAGCCTCTGTCCTGCCCGCCCCACTGGGTGCCCGTCACTCTCTGCCCCACAGAGCAGGCTCCTGTCAGCCTTGCGGGGAAAGATGGGCAGGGGGCCCGGACCTTCCCCTGACAGAGCTGCCGGGCCGGCTGTGCTCTCTCCTCCGAGGAAAACCCGGCACTGCAGCTACTGACGAGCTTGGTGGGCGGCAAAGGAGACGAGTGCAAGTGCCTAGACCAGCGTGGCCCCAGGGGTATGGGGACCACGGGGGTGGGTGGGGGGAGCCTTGGGTGTGCCCGGGGGCACTGCCTGGGTTTGCCTAAAGATGCAGAAGCGCTGCGGAGGCTGCAGGCCAGTGTCCTGTGTAGGCACCTGTCCGTGACGGGAAACCAAACAGCTCTGGGCTACAGCGGCTGTGAGTTGGGCGTTCCATGTCCCCTGCAAGCGGGCCGGGAACACAACAGCTCCACCTCCACCGCCCACCACACCCTCTGGCGGCAGCCCGGAGAGAGGGACGCCAACAAGCTGCCGGTTTCCAGTTCGGTCCCCAAGTTCGGTGGGGAGAGGTCTTGGAAGCGAGAAGCCAGCTCACAGCCAGTACTCCCTGGGCCGGCCAGGCGGAATTCCTTCTTTCCCGCGGGCTTGTCTTGGCGGGCATGTGCGTAGAAGACGAGGCCCACCAGAACCAGGCAGAACCAGGCACTCTTCAAGGAGTGCGAACCGGTTCTTCAGCTTCCTTTTCATTTGGGGGACACAGCCAGCGGTGCTCAGGGGCCGACCAGGGCTGCTGGAGATGGAGCTCGGGCCGGCTGTGTGCGAGGAGAAAGTCAGCCAAGTGTCCCAAGAGTTTCCTTCTCTGTGGCCCGGTCTCCTGCCCACGTGGAAGGACAAACTGGACTGCAAGCCCACAAGGCCCCCAAAGAAATGGCCCGTCACATGCGTCTGGGAAGTTCTGGGTTTGTTGTTTGTTTGTTTTTTTGCTTTTTTGGGTCATACCTTGTGATGCTCAGGGGTTCCTCCTGGCTCTGCACTCAGGAGTTACTCCTGGCGGTGCTCAGGGGACCATATGGGATACTGGGACTCGAACCCGGATTGGCTGCATGCAAGGCGAACGCCCTACCCCCTGTGCTATCGCTCCAGCCTTGAAAGTTATGGTTTAAGGAACCACCCTGAAAGTTTACTGAGGTGCAGAAAGAGCTCTGGTCTCCGGCTGCTACACAAGGCCTAGCTCAGGGCAGTGTCTCTCTCTCTCTCTCTCTCTCTCTCTCTCTCTCTCTCTCTCTCTCTCTCTCTGTGAGGCCGCAACAGCAGACGCCTTGTGGCGTTAAGGCAGAAAGGGTTGAAGCTGCAAGTCGGCGCATGAACGCGTGTCGACAAGGTCGCACACGAAAGCCATGACGTTAACGTCACGAATGATCACAAAGGCCAGGAGCGAGTGAAGAAGCGGCTCCGTTTCGGGAGGGACCTCGGTCAGCTTGCCCGTTACCTGGCGATGCAGGGAGAGGGAGCCCGCGCGGCCTTGGAGGAGCTCTGGAAGTGTTCGTTCAGGGCGCGCGAGTACTTGAGGACGGTGTCCTTCTTACAGCGGAACATCGCCATGTTCAAGAGGGACTGGCACCGCAGGCTGTGGGGGAACGGGGGAGAATGAAGTCACGGTGGCCCGGGGCAGCGTCTCTGCGGGGGAGGGAGCCTCTGGCCTCCCGGGGGCCGGGACGCAGGGCCCGCCAGCCCCCCACCAAGGCCGCCGGAGAACCCTTGCTGAGCGGACGAGGGGCATCTGGAGGACCACACGTCAGGTCAGTCGCATGAGGGGTGTCGAGGTGGGAAGCCGCATGCGAACAAGGGTTCGGTTTAACGACGCCACGAGAGGGAGCGGCGAGCCCAGGGGGTGAGACACGCCATGGGGCCGTTTCGCGATTAACTAGCTCAGGGACGGACCATGCAGAGTACCGAAGCGTTCACGAAAATTTTCCTGTTTGAAAAAAAACCCAAACAGGGGCTGGAGTGATAGCACCGCGGGTAGGGCATTTGCCTTGCATGTGGCCGACCCAGGTTCGATTCCCAGCATCCCATATGGTCCCCCGAGCACCGCCAGGAGTGATTCCTGATTGCAGAGTCAGGAGTAAGCCCTGTGCATCGCTGGGTGTGGCCCAAAAAGAAAAAAGAGTGACTGCAACCCGTCACAGGACAGCCCGAGCAAGCCCTCAGCAAAACCCAAGTCCCGGGAAGGCCTGACGGAGCCCCTGGCCTGCCTTGCAGACAACGGGGCCCGCTGAGCATTGTGGGGACGGCGTGGACGAGATGAGAAGGCCGATGTGGTGTAGAGCCAAAGAAGAAAGCACGTACCACAGAATAGCGAACGCCTTCTCCTGCGTGGAGCTGGCGCTGGGGAGGGCCTTTAACGCCATGGCGACACTGTCAGGAAGAGAGCGGGTGTCAGGTGGGAGGGGAGGGGCAGGAGGGCCCACCCCGGGCCACCGCATCCTTGGGGGTCTGGCGTTCCCGACGGCGCGGGAGTCCAGATCAAAGGAAACGGGGCCAGCGAGCAGGACAAGGGCGGGTCAGCGCCCAGGAACCGGGCCGGGCCGGGCTGGCAGATGCCCGTGCTGCCGGGGGCCTTGTTTTGGGGAACTCGCACGCCTGTGCACACCAGCAGCAGCCCCCAAGGAGCCCGGGGCCAGGCCAGGGTCCTGGGAGTGGGGCAGGACTCACCCCACGAGCTCTAGGGCCTCGGCGTACACGGCGTGAGCCGCCTTGGACGCGGGCGCGTCGGACTCCATGGCCATCCCGCCCTCGATGAGGGACAGCGCGGCCTCCAGGAGCCTGAAGGCCTTGGCGACCTTGTCCTTCTGCAGGAGAGAAGCGTTTGCAGTCACGCACGGGCTCGGGCGGGGCGCCACCACCCTCTGACTTCAAGGCCTAGCGCCGTCGGGGGGACGACGAGTGACCTCAGGATGAGAACCCGGGCCAGCTCGTCACAGACACTCAGTGAGAAGGAGAGAAACACCCTGTCTGGAGCACGGCCCCACAGTCCCGCAAAAGTTCCAATACAGGCTACACAGGAAGCCAGCCCTGACCCGCACTCGGGATGGGAGACGTGATCATTCCCCCGAGTCCAGCCCTGACCCACGTTTGGGGCGGGAGGAATGTGAGCATTCCCCCGGGTCTAGCCCTGACACGCGCTCAGGGCAGGACAGATCCCATCATTCTCCCAAGCACAGAGCCCTACTCCACACGGCAGGATGAGGACACAGTATCTGGCGGGTGCTGACCTGCTGGTGCAGTGGCAGGAAGCATTACACCCTGCATGCAGATGCCTCGGGTCTCACACCCAACAGGGGTCACTTGTGTATATTTCCCGGGAAGTCGGGGCTGAGCGTGGCAGTCCATCCCCAGAGACAATGGGGACTGTTGGAGAGTCCCTGGAGTGGGGGATGGCGAGCTCTGGGGGCCCGACACGGGGGCGCCCTCCCCTCACCGCACTCAGACCCCCTGCTCTGCCCAAAGATGGGCAGACAGACCGCCCTGTGCACTGCCCAGCTGCGTGAGACTCGGCCTTGAAGCTGCATCACACGGCAGCGGGTGATGGACACACGGGCTCCTTCTGTGCAACCAGGCTGAGAGGGTCAGTGACGGCCGCGGGGGTTGGGCCCCCCATGCTCCTTGCGGGGCCCCAAGCGCCACACGTGCCAGTTTTGGAGGCCGCCTGAGGTAAACCAAAGCCCATTTGAGCGGGACCAAGGGCAAAGTGCTTATACGGTCGCAGAGACCCACAAGTGGGTTCAATCCCGTAGGCCAATCACGAAGCGACAGCCAAACCACCCCCTGCCAGAAAGCTGGTTTTCCAAGCCTGCGCGCCACAGAAGAAGTCTGTTTATCGGGCAGGTGGGGAGGGGGAGAGAAGGGGCTTTGGAGTCACACCTGGCAGGGCCGGGTGGGCCTCTGGGGCGTCGGGGTGGGCCCCAGGCCGCGGAGCTGACTGTGCCGGGGTGGAGTCTGAAAGCCCCGACAGCCGGGGACCCCCCCGCCACTGGGTGGCCATCATTCACTCGGACTGGTCCTCCAGGGGCCTTAAGGTCACCTTAGGCTGTCTGCAGGCTACCCCCACCCACTTTCAGAATGCTCGGCGGTGAGTGCAAACCCACACACTTACGGTATCAGAAGCTGCTTTCCCCGAGCAAAGAGGCCACGCAGCAGGATAAGGAGACCCCCCAGGGAGCCAACAAGACCAGCAACAGAAAACCAAAATCCACCCAGGGAAGACCACCCGCCTCCCGGCCCGGGAGAGGACGTTCGAGGGCGCCCCGTGGGCTGGCAGGACTCTCAGCGCCCGGCCGGACTCACCGCGGCCTCTGCTTTCTGCTTCAGCCTCCTGGCCTCCTTCATGTGGGCGTCAGCTTGTTGTCTGAAAGGGAAGAAACACTCAGAGCTCAGGGCCCTGGAAGGGCTTGGTCAGGCGGGCTGGCTTCCGAGGCCCAGCAGGAGAGGGGAGGGGAGGAGAGGAGAAGAGAAGAGACAGAAGGATAGGAGGGGAGGGGAAGGGAGGGAACGGGATGGGGGCACAGGCAGACTCACTTTTCCTGCTTCACGGGGGGCCTCCCTGGCTTGGGGTTCCCGTTGGGCAGAGAAGGCACTGGGAAAGGGCTCGTTGTGTCCGCAGAGGAACCCTGGGAAGACAGCCACATGGATCAGAGGAGACACACCCGGGGGCACCGTCCCACCGAGCTAGCTGTCCCCCTGGCCAGCCCTCGCCCAGGAGTTAAGAGTCAGCTGATGCTGCGGGCTGGGCTTGTCCTGGGGACCCCGAGAACAGACCCCCACCCGGGGCCCAGGGGCCAGCTCTTGTACTGTCCTGTGATGTCCGGGTGTTGGGGGATCATGCAGAGCTGGGAATCCAACCCCGGGTTCCTGCACGCTAAGTGCACGCTCCAGCCCTTAGACACACATAGACACACAGACACAGACACACACACACACACACATACACACACACACACACACACGTCCATACACACCTACAGCCAATAATCGAAGTTGAGATCAAACATTCAAACCAAGAACCAGATCAAACATTCAAACCAAGAACCAGCCAGTGTGATCCCTGTAGTGTAACCACTGCAACTAGCCAATGTAATCAGCCCTTGCAAAAAGAAAAGAGAAAAAAAAAAAAAGAAAAAAAGAAAACAGAAAAGGAAACTAACAGAAATTTAATACGGAAATCTATTTAAATTTTTCACCAGTCCCTGACCCACTTTAGGAGTCAACCAACATCTAAAACCGTCATATTATGAACTATCTTACACGCCCTTTAAAAACAAACAACTGGATTTTGTCTTATTGAAAACAACCAGCTCTGAAAAAGCACTGTAGCACTGCACTGCCCTCCCGTTGTTTATCGATTTGCTCGAGCGGGCCCAGTAACAAAGTCTCCATTGTGAGACATTGTTGTTGTTACTGTGTTTGGCAGCGGATGAGATACTCTCGGTAGCTTGCCAGGCTCTCTGAGAGGGGCGGAGGAATCGAACCTGGCTCTGCTGGGCCGGCCGCGTGCAAGGCAAATGCCCTACTACTGTGCTATCACTCCAGCCCTGAAAAAGCAATTATATAGTTGCAATTATATAGTGAGAATTATATAGTTTTTAATTAAAAAAAATTGTGTGTGTGCATGTGCCTGTGTGCATGTGTGTATCTGTGCATATGGTGCGTATGTGTGTGTGTGTGTGTGTGTGCACGTGTGTGTGGTGCGTGGCCGTGCTCAGGGCACCCATGCAGAACCTGGGCCGGCCGCCCCATGGCAAGCGCCCTTCCTGCCCAGGGCCCCTTCGAGACGATTCCCGGGGCTGCGGGCGGGGCAGCTGTGCTCACCTTGTGCTCCGCGGCGCTCCCGGGGCCCCTGGCCTCCACCTTCCTGTGCTTGGGGACGGTAGGGTCCTTGTGGCCGCCCTTGGCACTGCTGGCACTCCGGGATGTGTCCTGGCCGCCGGGCTCTGCGTCCCGCCGGGAGCGCTTCTGGGCGTGCTTGGCGGGCTTGTGCGGGGAGGGCGAGGTCCGGGGCGCAGCGGGGAGCGCGTCCTGGCGGGAGCTCTCGGAGGGGGCCCGGGGCGCTCTGGAAAACGGCGAGGGCAGGGCTGAGGCCCGGGCCCAGGAGAGCGAGAGCTGCCCTGCGCTCCGCGGATAACACAGGCACACACGGCGGCCTCGCTCCACCTCAGCCCTGCTCTCTACGCCCACGGCTTTCCCCACCTCTGCCACCTCGCACGGTAGCCAAGCCACTTCAGGAAGCGACTTCTCCCGAGTCAGAGTAGGACAGGCGACTGTCCCACTCACGCCTCCCTGACACTCTCTCCTGGGGAGCCACCATGCCCGGGGCCCTGCGGGTTCCGACTCAGTCCCTGAGTGCGAGTGCCGACCCCAGAAACGGGGGGAGTCTGTGCCACAGCACACGGGCCAGGCCCTCCTGGTTTCCTTCGGGTTCTGGGATGTTCCTTTATTTTATTTTGTTTATTTTTTATTTTTTAATTTTTTAAATCTCTTTGGATCACACCTGGCGATGCTCAGGGGTCACTCCTGGCTCTGCTGCGCTCAGGAATCACCCCTGGTGGTGCTCAGGGGACCATATGGGATGCTGGGAACTGAACACGGGTCGGCCACATGCAAGGCACACGCCCTCCCCGCTGTGCTGTCGCTCCAGCCCCCTGGGATGTTCCTTTAGAACGAAGCTAACGCCAGCGGTCTGGGAAAACGGCCACGAATCAAATGCGGCCTGTGACTCCACCCACTGCCAGCCTCCACAGAAGGGTCCCCACAGGGGCACCCCAGTCATGCCATCTACCCCCCTAAGGAAGGAGTCTGAGAGCCCACCGACGAGCGACCACCCGACTGCTGTTCCTCAGGCCGGGAGACCCGCCCCCTCTCCGGGTGCTCCTCCTCACACTCACTTCGCTTTGGAAGACTCCTTGCTGGACACTGAGGAGGATGACTGTGGCTTCACTTCCTTCTCCAGCCTGACTCTCTTGCTGTCATGGTCACGTTCTCCTTCACCCTGTCACACAGCAGAGCAAGACAGACTGTCACCAACACAACCGTAAGAGCAAGAAGCCCCCGGTGCAGTGGCCTGGTCCACCGGCCGTGTTCTCCTCTGACACGGTCTCCTGCTCTCTCCACTCCGGAGGAGGCCGGGCTGTCTCAAACACGCACTTCCCCTCACATCCAAGTAGCACTGTAGCACTGTCCTCCCGTTGTTCATCGATTTGCTCGAGCGGGCCCAGTAACGTCTTCATTGTGAGACTTTGTTGTTACTGTGTTTGGCATATCGAACACGTCACGGGGAGCTTGCCAGGCTTTACCATGTGGGCGAGATACTCTCGGCAGCTTGCTGAGCCCAAGTTCAGAGAGGGAAATGACAGATTAAGGGCCATCTGAGAGGGGTGAAGGAATCGAACTCAGGTCGGCCGCATGCCAGGCAAATGCCCTACCCGCTGTGTTATTGCTTACATCCACATCCAAGTAAATTTCAACAAAAACTATATCTCTGTCATACATAAACTTACAGAGAAAAAAAGACAGAAAAATCCAGTAAAGCGATAAGACAAATCGGCTCCTGGGAGACATCGCAATGTGCAGAGAAGCTCTGGGCAGCCACCCCATGTAGTATCAGGGCGAGGGGGCTGCGTCCAGCCCCCTGAGATGAGGGGCTGAGGCCTCCCCGGCCTGACAGGACGAAGAAGCAGACCTTGACACCAAGTTTCAGAGCCAGCACCAATGCAGACTCGCACCAGGCAGCCTCAGGTGGTTCCCGGGGTGAGGCCACCTCCTGCCCAGTCTGGTCTGCTTCCTGGGGGGAGTCAGTGACCAGGGAAATGGCTCCGGAGACCACCGTCTCGGCTGAGCGAGGCCAAGTTCCAGCCTCAGCCTCGAGAACAGAAATGGTAAACTGAGTAACGGTGCACTTAAAGGTATTTCCTAATGGAAAATCAGAACGCCGTTGAAGAAGAAGGAAACAGACGGAAAAACCCCCTCTCAGCGATTGCCTAGGAAACCACTGTTTCTATATGTCAGCATACACATGTATGCCTGTATGCTCTTCGAGAAGCGGCCGTTTCTCATTTTCCAAAAATTCAAAAGAAAATAAAAGGATTGGGGCTGGAGCGATAGCACAGCGGGGAGGGTGTTTGCCTTGTGCGCGGCCGACCCAGGTTCGATTCCCAGCATCCCATATGGTCCCCCAAGCACCACCAGGCGTAATTCCTGAGTGCAGAGCTACGAGGAACCCCTGTGTATCATCAGCTGTGACCCAAAAAGAAGAAAAGAAAGAGAGAGAGAGAGAGAGAGAGAGAGAGAGGAGAGAGAGAACAAAGGGCTGTACACGTGAGTTCAGAGAGGGAAATGACAGAGAAGGGCCATCGACCCCTACAGGAAGTAAGTACCACAGAAGCACAGGATAATACCAGCTGAAGCACAGTATATAATGTCATTAAGGTGCATCATTCTTTTTTTTTTTTTTTTTGCTTTTTGGGTCACCCCCGGCGATGCACAGGGGTTACTCCTGGTTCATGCACTCAGGAATCACTCCTGGCGGTGCTCAGGGGACGATATGGGATGCTGGGAATCGAACCTGGGTTGGCCGCGTGCAAGGCAAATGCCCTACCCGCTGTGCTATTGCTCCAGCCCCAAGGTGCATCGTTCTTAAGAGAACAAAGAAGGCTTCACAAGGAGAAGTCTTCCCGACGTTCTTGTGCTCCACCAGCTCCGAGGCGCTCAGGTTTACACACGGTTTAACACGCAGAGCAGAGACTTCATGCCCCTGCTGCAGACCGGGCTCAGGGCCACGGGCGAAGTGACACGTGAGGTCCCGCAATGAACCTGACGCTTGTTTGGAAGGAAACTCCCCCCACTGTCAGCTCAGCAGGAGGAATCTGGGACACCCCCAGTCAATCTAGGACAATCCTGGGAGGCTGGGGGAGGGGAGGGCGGTGTGAGGAGAACCTACATCCTTCACCGAGTCGGCAAGACAAGCAGAGCCGACTTCCAGTCAGCTAATCGTGGGAGGCCCTGGTTTCCACGGCCCCTCATTCCTTGCATTTCTCCAGGAAAAAAAAAAAGAATAAATTAAGACGTGTCGTTTCAGTCTCTGCCCAGACTAATAAGCACTCTGGCACTCCCTGGAAGAAATCAGGCGGGACACACGACCCCCTTTCCCTCTCCTGGCGCTCGGCAGAGCAAGTCCAGGTGGAACACGAAGGTGGGAGAACGTGGGCAGGGAAGACCCCTTCCGAGGGAGGGCGACCCCAGACCCTTCCAGAGGCCAGGTGATCTGCATCCTCACCCAGCAGGCACAGCTCTGGGGACCCGCCGGGAGACACTCAGGCAAGGAGGCAAGGGGTGTGCCCCCCCTCCCCCTCTCTCTCTCTCCAGCCCCTGTACTGAGTCTGAAAGCGATTCTCACTGGTGGGTTTTATTTTTTGCCTCTCTTAATATTCTTCATGTGACGATTAGATGAAAATCCTGTGTGGGGGCTGGAGCGATAGCACAGTGGGTAGGGCGTTTGCTTTGCACGCAGCCGACCTAGCTTCGATTCCCAGCATCCCATAGGGTTCCCCGAGCACCAACAGGGGTAATTCCTGAGTGCAGGAACCAGGAGTAACTCCTGTGCATCACTGGGTGTGACCCCCCAAAAAATAATCCTGTGTGGCTTTTATTAGTTCTCTACTGGGCACCACTGTCCCCACACCACATTTTTCTCTTTTTTTTTTTTGTTTTTTAATTGAATCACCGTAGCAACGGTTACCAAACGTTCACGTTTGAGTTTCAGTCATACCCTGATCGAACACCCGACCCTCCACCGGCTGCGCAAAATGTATGGAACGCTTCAAGCATTTGCGTGTCATCCTTACGCAGGGGCCACGCTGATCTTCTCTGTCTCCTTCCAATTTTAGCGAATGTGCTGCCGAAGCGAGCACCACGCCACACTTTCCTAGACACGACCTGCGACTTGGAATCAGAACTCCCAGTGAACTGCAGCAGAAAGGGAACGCTAGGGAATGTGGATGTAGATAAGGTAAGAAGCCCCGTCAGCTGCCCGGACACAAGAGCTGGTCATCAGAGGGCGGGCGCGTGTCCTTCCGTCTGTGCTGGGGCCCGGGCTGCACCCAAGGACAAGGGGCCCCCATCACCCCAGGCCCTGGGAACTACCGCCTTGCAAAGCTGACAAGGAAGGAAAACGTGATGGAAACAAGCACATCCTCCAGCCACACTGGAGAGGCAGGGTCTGTCCCACAGTCGAGGGACCCCCGTGCTGCAGAAACAGGGGACACGCCTGGGGGCCCAGGAGTGAGCAGAGACCCAGCGTGTGAAGAACGGTGCAGGGCCTTTGGTGACACACAGGCATGGAGGCAGAGCAGGGAAGGCACCTGCCTCGCACGAAGTCCATCTGGGTTCAATCCCCGCAGGGGGTCTGCTGCACCCCACTAGGAGTGACCCTGAGCAGAGCCGGGTGTGGCCCCAGACAAAAACAAACAAACAAAAAAGCGTGCACTGGGGGGAGAGGCAATGTTGGCAGAGAAAAATCAAGTGACGGTGTCAGAGAGGCCACTGCCGGGTCTCCCTCTGCCCATCTCTGGCGTGAAGAGGCCACGTGCCCCAGGGGCTCTGCTTGAGGGGTCCAGAGAGTCCCTCTCGCCCACAGCCAGCTGGAAAGCCACAGAACCACAAGTTCAGAGGCAGAATGTGTATGTGTGACACGCTGCTTGAAAATAATCAATTTCTTTCTTTTTTTCTGTTTTTTTTTTTTAAGGAAGCAAGTTAGTTTCCGAGCAGTTAGTGACACACAGCTAAGTCCCCGAGGCAGAGGTGAGCGTGAATCACCCACAAGATTACTTCCCATTGCAAACGCAAACGCAAACGCCAGAGCCCGAGGTGGGAGGAGAGTCCATCTTTCTTTGTGTCTGTCCACGCTAGTTACAACCAAGTGGCCGCCCGTGCTGACCACACATGGAAATATCCCTCCAGCCCACCCCCACACTGCTGTGCACGAGAAAAGAACAGCACCGTACTGACCGAGAAACCACCAAACCCGAACTCCAAACCTGCCATCCTCCACAGCCCCTGGCACGTGCTAGAAAAACACCCTTTACAGGGCCACTGCTGGGTCCCCCTCCCCAAACAGGGGGCAACTGAGAAGCTCCTGAGATTACGGGAGCTGGCAGAAAGTGAGTCACCGAACAAACACCAGACAAACAAACAAACAAACAAACAAAAAAAGTGTTGATTCTGCTTCACCGAGTCCAGGCCTGCGGTCAGCGAGTCCGGACACTGTGACCTGGAAGCCTGTCCTCGCCTGTCTGCCCCGGGCCCTTAGTGCAAGTGTCAGCGGCCAGGGACCTTCAGCTGAGTGGCCAAGGGGTGCGGCGGCCAAGGGGCAGGGCCGAGGACCAGGGTGGCAGGACATGCGAGGGATGGGTCCAGGAAGCGCCAGTCAAGAGGGCCGGGCCGTTCTGCTGGCAGCAAAGGCCGAATTTGGATTGCAAGAAGGAAAACAGAAGGCAAGAGGGCGGGGAGCAGCCGTGTGGAGATTTTTCGGGGTCCAGCAATCCTCCTGTGCCTGTGCCGTACCCAGGGTCAAGCCTGTTCCGAGACCTGCCCAGAGGGTGGTCTTGAAGGCCGGGAGGTCGGCAGCGCCCGCCTGCCAGGGCTGTTTGCTCTGCTGAAGCCACTGGGTCAGGCTGTCCCAGAACAGGGTGGAGCCGAGGGCAGGGGTGAGGCACAGGGAGGGAGAGAATGTGAGCCGGGCACGGCCTGTCCAGGGAGCTGCACGTCCAGGCCTGGGTGGGGGGTGGGGGAGAAGCGGGCAGTGGCCGCAGAAGTGAGCTCTCTTGAGACCAGAGTCCAGGGCTGCCCCAAGGGGGAGGGATGGGGGAAACACGGACAAGGGGTCCCCAGTGCAGGACGAGCTGAAGTGGACTTGAGGCCTCTGCCCCGGGACCCTCTTGGCCCAATCCAGCAGAGCGCCAGGTCTGAGGTTCCGGCCCCCAACACTGGGGGCGGCGGCATGCCCGAGCAGCCTCCTTCCAGCCGAGACCCCGCCAAGACCCCACTGTGTTCCCTCGGGGACAGGAAAGAGGTGGCTGGATAGAAGCTGGCGACTTTCCCAGGACCTGCGTCTGCACCGCACAGCTGAGTGCAAGGCTCAGAGAAGACGGGAAGGTGCGCCGGCCACTTTCTCCCTCCGGGCTGTGAGCACTCCACTGTGAGCACTCCACTGTGAGCTTCCGGGAGGATGGGGGGGGCGCGGCTCAGATCTTCGACCCTGATGGCAGGGAGTGAAGAAACCCCCAGGCCAAGAGCAAGCCGGGGTGAGGGGTAAGAGTCCGCAGACCCCGGCACACACCGTCCCCCCTTCAGGGCACAGCAGCACCGGCAACGCTTGGGGAACCAGGTCGGGAACGTCCCCAGCAAGAAACAGCCAGATCAGATGGAGAGTTCCAGTGACCTGTCGACACCAGGGCTTCGCGACCCTTCTCACGCGTGACCTCTGCACTGAGGAAAGCAGCGCAGACGCCCTGGCCGCTGCCCCCCGACCCCCACCCCAGCCGCCTGAGAACCAGCCGGACCCGGGCCCAGAAACCTTTCGTCAATGCAGCTGAGTCTTCTGGGACCCCTACATTTAGCGATGCTGCCCCCACGTTTAAGGAGCTCGGGTCATTCAATGCGACCCCAGATCCAAGGGGCTGAGGCCGACAGCGTGTCCCACACAGGGCCTAGGCGACCCTCCCAAACCACTGCGACCGCCTGGGTGCATTGAGGGGTGCTCAGCCATACTCTGCTCCCCCCAAGTCCAGAAAGCATAAACTGGACTTAAACCTTAGCACTGTAGCACTGTCCTCCCGTTGTCCATCGATTTGCTCGAGCGGGCACCAGTACCGTCTCACAACAAATCATTAGACTTGTTGTTACTGTGTTTGGCACATTGAATGCGTCACGGGGAGCTTGCCAGGCTTTGCCGTGGGAGCGAGATCCTCTCAGTAGCCTGCTGGGCTCTCCAAGAGGGGCGGAGGAATCGAACCCGGGTCGGCCATGTCAGCCACGTGCAAGGCAAATGCCCTACCCGCTGTGCTATCGCTCTAGCCCTTAAACCTTATGTAAGAGAAAGCAGACAGTCTCCTTTTGAATCCTGAAGAATAAGCAGGCAGTTCTGAGACCTGCCCAGTGGGTGGTCGTGAAGGCCAGGAGATCGGCAGCGCCCGCCTGCCCAGGGCTGGCCACTCCAGAACAGGGTGGAGCTGAGGGCAGGGGTGAGGCGAGAAAGTTCTCCTGCTCCTGGAAGGGGGCCAACGCGGGCTCACGCCCACGGAGCACCCCGGTCTCGCCAGCTCTCCTCACACTCACACGTCTAAGGCACTCACTCACCACGGCCGCTCTCTGCCTTCCTGTCCCTGGACTTCTAAACCGAAAATCCATTTAGATTTTAGATTTAGACATAATTTGCTGCATTTTCCACCAGAAGCGAACAGACCTGGGAGCGACAGCCCAGCGGGGTAGGGTGTTTGCCTTGCCCGCGGCCAACCCGGGTTCGATTCCCAGCATCCCATAGGGTCCCCCGAGCACCGCCAGGGGTGATTCCTGAGTGCAGAGCCAGAAGGAACCCCTGAGCATCGCCGGGTTGTGGCCCCAAAAGAAAATAAACGAAGTCCAACATCATCAGAGCAAACAAGCACGTAGCCACGGGGGTGCCCCCCACCCCCTGGGCATCCTTGCCGCCACACAGCCTCACCTTACTGCGCTTGGTGCCCCGGTCCGAGCTCTTCTTCTCGCCGTCCGGCCTCCTCCCCGCAGAGGGCTGCCTGTCGTCGGGGTGCTTGGGGCGGCCCCCCTTGGCCGGCGGCCGGGGCACCCGGGAGAGGAGGTCGAGCGTGATCCTCACCAGCAGCTGGTTGGGCGGGGACGGGTCCCTGAGCTGGGAGGGCGCCTTGGGGTCCCTCCGGCCGCCACTCGTCCTGCTGCGGGCCCCGGGCAGGGGGGCCACCAGCGTCAAGTGCCCGCTGCCCACGAGGTCCTTGGCGGGCTCCGGCCCCGCGGGCGTGTCCAGGGGGGCCGGGGGTCCATCCTTGTGCTTCTTCCGCTCCCTGGGGGCCGGCTCCCTGGGCTCCCTGGCCTCCCCGGCCCGCGGCCTGCCTTTCGTCTTCACCTTGGGCTTGTCCTTGGACGGCTGCGGGCCGGGGGTGCAGGGGGCGGGCGGCACCTCGGTCTCCACCTGCAGGCTGGGCCGCGCGGCCCCCGGGCCCTTGCACGGTCTCTTGGGCTGTTTGGTTCCCACCGTCTGCCTCTTGGTCGGCTCCTGCTGGCCAGGGGCCTTCGGGCAGCTCCTCTTGCCGGCGTGGGGGCCTTCGGACGGGGCGCGGGGGGCTCTGCTGGAGCTCTTCGGGGGAGCCTCTTTGGATTCTGAGCGGGCAGGGGCGCTGTCCCCTCTGTCCTTGCCCTGGCTCCCCGCCAGGGCCTCTGGGGGCGCTGCAGGCTGGCTGACTTTGATCAACCAGTTGTCCAGCTGCCATTTGTTGGTGGAGGGCGGCTCGGGCTGCGAGCAAAGACCAGGAGAAAGGGTTAATGACCACCACCGCCGAGAAAGCTGTGCTTCACGCCGCTCTATTCTGCAAGACCGAGCACCTAGGGCTGGAGCGACAGCACAGCGGGGAGGGCGTTCGCCTTGCACGTGGCATACCCGGCCGACCCAGGTTCGATTCCTCCGCCCCTCGCAGAGAGCCTGGCAAGCTACTGAGGGTATCTCGCCCGCACAGTAGAGCCTGGCAAGCTACCTGTGAGCTCTACCTGCTGGAGCTCTTCAGGGAAGGCGCCTTGCTATTGCTGCAGCCCAAGTAAAGGTAAAGGTAAAGGCCCTCCCGCTGATCGTCGATTTGCTCGAGCGGGCCCAGTAACGTCTCCATTGGAGACTTTGTTGTTACTGTGTCTGGCATATCGAATACTCTCGGTAGCTTGCCGGGCTCTCCGAGAGGGGCAGAGGAATCGAACTCGGGTCGGCCATGTTGGCCGCTTGTAAGGCGAACGCCCTACCCGCTGTGCTATCGCTCCAGCCCAAGTAGAAGCCATAAAAAAGAGCAAATCTAAACTACAACACCCAAAGGAGAGAGAGAGAACAAGGGGGAATGCCCTGCCACAGAGGTAGGGTGGGATGGGGGGGATGGGGGGGATGGGGGGGTGAGAGGGATACTGGGATCCGTGGTGGTGGAGGATGGGCTCTGGTGGAGGGATGGGTAGTTGATCATTGTATAATTGAAACCCAAGCACAAAAATTTGCAAGTCTACAACTGTACCTCATGGTACAGTAACAACAAAGTCTCCAATGGAGACGTTACTGGGCCCGCTCGAGCAAATCGACGATCAACGGGAGGGTGTTTCACTAATTAAAAAAAAAAAAAAAAGAACAGATCTGCCAGCATTCAAAATAAGTGGCGGGGGGGCCTGAGCAATAGCACAGCGGGTAGGGCGTTTGCCTAGCTCTTGGCCGACCCGGGTTCAACCCCCGGCATCCCATATGGTCCCCTGAGCACCGCCAGGAGTGATTCCTGAGTGCAGAGCCAGGAAGAACCCCTGAGCATTGCTGGGTGTGACCCAAAAAGCAAAAGCAAAAAAAAATAAGTGGCGGGGGCTGGAGAGAGAGCCCAGTGGGTGGAGCTGTGTGTGGTCTTGCACACGGCTGACCTTGGTTCGAACCCCAGCACCCCGTACGTTCCCCCAGGTCTGCCGGGAGTGATCCCTGAGCGCAGAGCCAGGAGCAGGCCCTGAGCATCAGTCAGTATGACCTCAAAACCAAATGAGGAAAAAAAAAAAATCAAGATAAATAAAAGACAAGGAAGCAAACCCTAGAGACGACAGGGCCAGGGCTGGACTTGGCAGCAGGGCGACACGCCTGTGTTCCTGGCACCCCAGGGAGCCCAGCTCCGGTGGGAGGAAACCCCAAGCACGCAACACCGAGTGACCCCAGAACAAGAGCTACCAGATCCTGTGACTCTCAACCAACACAGACTTACGATAGGGCAGGAGCTTGTTTTGAAAGGAAGGAAAAGGAGTCAGATACCCCGAGAACATCTTGAAAGTTTTAAAATCCAGACTAAGGAGAAATGTTTCTGGGAAGCTTAACCGTCGTACGCAACAAACAAATCCACCGAGTCTCGCTTCACCTGTACATCTACCCTAATAGACATTTGCAGGCTCTCTTAGGAAGGCAGTTAAACACATACACAGGGCCAGGGGCGCTGGAGAGCTGGACAACAGGCCCGACCCTCCCACTGGCCAGTGGCCCCCCCAGCACATAAAGAATGGGTCACTTCCTCCTACCCTGAGTCTGGAGTCCCTGGGAGGGGAGTTCCACCCTCCACTTTTTCCACCAAGATGTGGCTGTTTCTCAAGTGAAAATTCTACTTTAGACCATCACCGGTTTACACTACCACAGGAATTCACGGACGGGGGGAAACTTTCCCCCTCTGTATGGTGAGGGAACTGCTGTCCCACTGAAGTTCTAGTGCCACGGTCCCCTGCCACGACACTGCACCTGGCAAGTGTGATCGCTGGGGCCAGCACAGCGGCAGCCAAGGGCAGGAAGTGGCAGGAGTTTAATTTTCAGGGCGGGGGAGGGGGGACAGGAATGGAAACTGGTGCTTGCCCTCAGGCTCCTGAGTCTAACCCGGGCTTCAGAACATCCCGCTAATACGAATTCAATCTTTCTTTTTTGAGTTTCATTGATGCCAACTTGGAACCAATCCTCCTTTTTATTTATTTATTTAGTTTTGGTTTTTGGGTTGCACCCAGCGATGCTCAGGGGTTACTCCTGGCTCTGCATTCAGGAATTACTCCTGGCGGTGCTTGGGGGGACCCTATGGGATGCTGGGAATCGAACCCAGGTCAGCCGCGTGCAGGGTAGGGCGTTTGCCTTGCACGCGGCCGACTGGGGTTCGATTCCCAGCATCCCATAGGGTCCCCTGAGCACCGCCAGGAGTAACTCCTGAGTGCAGAGCCAGGAGTGAGCCCTGTGCATCGCTGGGTGTGACCCAAAAAGCAAAATAAATAAATAAATAAATAAAAATAAAAAACCAAAATCACCTGCCTCCCCGTATCAGTCACTGAATAACAGCTATTGTTTCCTATTCCTTAGTAAAGTTGAGATATAAAGCAAAGATTAAAGATTTTTCAAAGTTTCTGGTTTGGGGGCCACCCCGCCTGCTCCCCCCGCCCCCCGACCCCCCATCGGTGCTCAGGGCTCATTCCTGGCGTTGCGCTCAGGAATCCCGCCGTGATCCGGTGGGGTTTGGAGGACCATGCGTGGTCCTGAGGACTGAACTTGGGTGGACGGTGTGCAAGGCCAAGTGCCCTGCCCACTGCGCTCTCTCTCTCCAGCTCCCAAGCAGGGCGCACAACTTAACTTAGTAAGATAATCACTCAGCTTCGCTGCACTGTCCCCAGATGGATGTGGGTGAATGCCCCGCGGAGCTGCCTTACTTCCTAAGTAGCAGTGTCTCCGGGTGAAGCAACTGTGCCCTCACCAGAAAGGTTTCCCAGTCCTCCGGACTGAAACGGGAGCAAGGTCAGTACAGGATGTCCAGTTGCCCAGAAATGCCTGACCTTTTTCCTTCCTTTGTGGGGGTCAGGCGCGACAGAGCCTGGGGCTAGATCTTACGTGGCCCCGGGGCTGGAGCCAGGCTTGGCGGTGCGCCAAGAAACGCTTTGCCCACTCGCTCCCTGGCCCAGAAGCTCTTCCCCTCCTCACTACGCCACAACTCCAGTACACGCATGCACGTGTTATTTTCTAAGTGACATAGTTCCTTTCAGGAAACAGGAGTGCAGGTCCCCCGATGGAAAGGATCAAAGCACAGCGCTAAGCTGGTGCGTAGACAGTTCTACCAGGGCACTCCACGGTATCCTCAGCGATGGGAAACATTCCCCCAGCCCTCGGTGACCTTGAGGCTGTTGGGAATGATTTCTTCTGCTACACAGCAGTCAGGCAGGAGGCGGGAAGCAGTGCTCGGAAGACCCTGGCCTCTGTTCCTCTCTGTCCCTCCCAGTCTATCTGGGGCCAGAGCAGAACAACAATATCCCTTGTACCCCTGAACCTGCAGCTTTGGATTTTTTGTTTGTTTTTGGTTTTTTTTTGGGTCACACCAAGCTCCACCTGGCTCTGCACTCAGGAATTACTCCTGGCGGTGCTTGGGGGACCATATGGGATGCCGGGGATCGAACCGGGGTGGTCGGTCATGTGCAAGGCAAACGCCCTCCCCGCGGTGCTATCGCCCCAGCCCCAACGTGCAGCTTTGAGTGACCCCTGAGGACTGGGTGGTTTCTCCTCCCGCCCTGCTGGAGTCCGGCTGCCTCCTTTGGCCCACCTGAACCTGCCAGCCCTCAAGCTCTGGAAGATTCTCGGCGGTCTCTGCCCTGGCCTCCCTTCTCCGGAACCACCCCCCCCCCCCCGCCCCGACATACCTCGGGGGCCGGTTCTGGGGGCTCGTTCTCCTCGCTGTCGCTGGAGCTGCTCTCGCTCTCCGAGTCCGACGAGCTGTCCGAGTCGCTGGTGCTCTCGGACTCGACGCTGCTGGCCCGGGTCGCGGCCGGGGTAGAGGCGGGCGCTGTGGGAACCGTCTGTGGGGCGCTGCGGGGCAGATGGGTGGGTCAGGCCCCGGCCCCCCACCCTGCGTCCTGCCATTCGGCACCTGTGCTTCCGAGGATGGCAGGGACATCCCCTCCCCCACCCCCCGGTGGCCTTCCTCATCCTCCTGCCTGCCTGCCTGCCTGCCCACACCAGAGCCTGGACACCCCTGGGCACTGGCCGCCACAGGGGGAAGCCCGTTTGGCTCCTGAAGGAGGCGTGGCGCCCGGCGGGCACTTTAGGGCACTTTCTTATCAGGCCACAGGCTTGTGTTTCTGAAGAAAGTTTTCTTGGCAGAGACCACACCCGACTTCCTTGGACACACGTGTCTTCTTCCCTCTCCAACGGCTCACAGATACGGCCACACGGCCCACTGAGTGATTCTGCGGCCTCGGCACACATAGCTGAGAGCAGTTGGTCTATGAGAGCGTAGCCAACGTGCCGACGACGTCCCCATCCTGGGGGCCTGGGCAGGGCCCCTGGCATCCCGCAGTCCCCAGAGCACGGCTGAGAGCAGCCCTGAGCCCAGAGGGAGGGGAGCAGCCCAGGGCTGGCCTGGCCACTGCCCTGCCCTGTCACAGAACCCCACGAGGCCCAACACAGCTCTTAGTGCTGTTCTGCTGTAAAGGGAACCTCAGTTCAGACACGATTTGGGGCCAGAATTCGAACCTGGGTGAGTCTTTGACAAGAGGGTTAGGCCCAGCTGCCCCATGGGCTCCAGTAGAGATGAGCTTCTGCATTTGCTAAGAACAGGCCACTGGGGAAATACAGATGTGAGGTGCTTGCCTTGCATGCAGCTGACCCTGCGTGGACCCCGGGGTGCTGAGGAAACCCAGGAGGAAGCCCCGAGTACCCCAAGGAGTGGCCCCAATGCACCAGGCCCCTCTTCAACCGCCCCCCCCCCCCAACCCCTGCACAAAAAGAGGCCACCAAATCCAGGCCAGGGGAAAAAAAAAAATCACACTGACTGCACGGCTGAACCATCTATATAAACTTCCAAAGCCTAGCTTAAAAACTTTGCCATTGTATAATTGAAACCCAAGCACAAAAATTTTAAGTCTACAACTGTACCTCATGGCGTCTCACTAATAAAAATTAAAAAATTAAAAAAAAAACCAAAACAACTTTGCCTTAGGGGGCTGGAGAGATAGCACAGCAGGGAGGGCGTTTGCCTTGCATGTAGCCAAGCTGGGTTCGATTCCCAGCATCCCATATGGTCCCCTGAGCACTGCCAGGAGTAGGTCCTGAGTGCAGAGCCAGGAGTAACCCCTGTGCTTCGCCAGGTGTGACCCAAAAAGCAAAATAAAGGCAAAAAACAAAAACAAACAAACAAAAAAACACCTTTGCCTTAGATGGTGTTAGCCCAAAAAATGATCAGTAACTCTGACCATGCAATAAGCCTGCAAATCCACCCAAAACCTTTTCCAGAATAATAAAATCTGGGTAATAATGAGTAAAAGATGTTGAGGCAATCTTAAAACGTACACACCATAGTGTGACAACCCCACCCCCCACCTAAACTCTGAGTCAGCACTTCTTTCACACTGGGTGGAGGGGTGCTTTTGATCTTCTTTCCTTTAATTGGTCCTGGCCCTACTTTTTTCTCCTCCCCACCCCCCCATTTTCAGGCTACTTTGACATTTCATAGGTTGCCACACATTATGGCATGAAATGGGTTATAAACAAGTGAGTGGGTCCTTTTGGCTGTGAGACCTCGAAGAGCTATGAGAATTTCCTCTGCAGTAACGGTGGCCTTGCTGGCTTAACAGGAAGGATTTTTTTTTTTTTAATGGAGTCAGTCTGGGAACGGATGTGTGTCCATCTCAAGGAAGTCAAACAGCTTGAGTGCATCTGAGTGCTACACCATGAACTCCGGCACGAAAGGAAATGATAAAGGTAGTTTCACCGAGTTTCCCTCGGCGAGTCTGAAAGTTCCACGTCCTAAGATGCGACTAGCTGCTCCCAGGATCAGGGCCTCGTGCCGGCACGCTCTAGCCGCACCAGAGATCAGTCTAAGCTGAGACATGATTTGTCTGATTGAACGTTCCCATCACTCAAAACATGAGTGATGGGGGCTGGAGTGATAGCATAGCGGGGAGGGCGTTGGCCTTGCACGCGGCCAACCCGGGTTCGATTCCCCGCATCCCATAGGGTCCCCTGAGCACCGCCAGGAGTCATTCCTGAGTGCATGAGCCAGGAGGAACCCCTGTGCATTGCCAGATGTGACCCAAAAAGAAAAAAAAACAACAACAATTGAGTGATGGAAAGGAATTCCTAGAGATAGTAATTCAGCCTGAACCATTTGGAAAACAGTCGAACTGTCACTTCTGTGAAAACACGGGGCTCTCCAGTCTATCTTATCAAATGCTGGTGACATGACACTGGTCCATGTGAACCAGTTTCCTTTGAAAACTCTCAAAACGTCATAAAAATGGGCCAAACGGGTGGATTTCAGTGGATGCCAGGGATCTCTGGCTTCTCTAGAGTCAACCACCGTTCCGTGGCTGACGTAAGCTTCTAAGACGGGAGACAGACCTTCTTACTGTGACCCTCCTCCTCCTCTCCCATGAGGAGCGGCTGCATTTCCCCATTCGTTTGAAAGAAGCAAACGTGAGCGGGGCTGGGGGAGGCGGGACACAGTACCTTGGTGGTGGAGATGAGGAGGGAGGCTTCTCAGAGGCCTGGGCCAGGGAGAGAAGGAAAAACAGGTTAGGATCCGCAGCTCGGGGCGGGCGCCAGGCTGGGGGGCGGGCTGGGGCGGGGCGGGGCGGGGCGGGCCGTGCTTACGTGTTCACTGCTGCTATCCTCACTGTCACTAAGCTGAAGGTCATCTTCCAGCATGCTAGAGAAGGCAGGTACAGAGATGTCACAGAGCACAGAACCACTCAGAATGCTTCAGGGGGGGCGGGGAGGGGGGAGACATGCACAGATGCTATATGCTTCACGGAACAGAGGAGGGGTGGGGAGCGAGGCGTATGCTTTCAGCCCAAAACCCTATTTCTCAGGAACTTAAGTCTTGCGAATAGAACGCAGAAACTAGCTCAGCACCAGCTCTGGACCCTGACGATTTGAAGACAGGGCATGCAGAGAAAACACACACACACACACACACACACACACACACACACATGCGTGCGCAAAGCCAAAAAAAAAAAACGCATAAGAGGCACTCGATTTCTTTCTCTAGCATAATAACCAGAATAAACTTCTAAACATTATAAAAGTTAAATACTGAATGGATGACTTTGTAAAGCGCTTTCAATGGCTTAACTGTCAGGCACTCAGTACTTTATATGTTTCTATCCAAAGGGCATAAACATCACTGTAATTAATGTTGCTGGTCTATTTTTCACACACACAAAATCCTCTCTTTTGTCTGCTTGGGCATTAGTGAGTAGAAAGGGTAGTAGCACGGTGCACGGTAGCACGGTGCTCCCGTTGTTCATCGATTTGCTCGAGCGGGCCCAGTAACGTCTCCATTGTGAGACTCGTGGTTACTGTGTTTGGCATGTCGAATACGCCACGGGGAGCTTGCCAGGCTTTGCCGTGAGAAAAGGTAGTAACACGAGTAATATTGTTGTTGAGAAATTGAGGTTGATCATTCTGGTGAAAATAAAGTTGGCTTTCTCCAGGTTCTGTTAACACTGAGCTCTCAGCACCCTCGCTCGCGAAGAGCCTGATGCTGAAAACCAAGCATTCCCCAGCCCGCAGTCTTCACTGGTGTCTTGGCCTTGTTCTGTCCCTCTTTCCCCCTCATATCCTCCCAAATATTGAAGGAATAAGCCAATCGCGGTTTCCTCCCATTTCTCCCCCAGATTACGAACATGCCTGCAGAAACATACCAAGTGAAAATGAAAACGAAATAAAGTTACTTGAGCATTACTGATTCTCCAAAGGAGTGAGCAGTTACGATGATGCAGTTCACCCAAAAATACTTGTGTTGATAACTTGCCAGCTGCAAAGCAGGGTTATTGGGGGAATCCCTGGTAAAAACTGCCGTTTTCCCAAAGAAATTAAATAATGACCGCCAATAAGAATGCTGTCACCGGGCTGGAATGACAGCACAGCAGGGAGGGCGTCTGCCTTGCCACGGCCAACCCAGGTTCGATTCCCAGTATCCCATAGGGTCCCCTGAGCACTGCCAGGAGTAATTTCTGAGTGCAGAGCCAGGAAGAACCCCTGTGCATCGCTGGGTGTGACCCAAAAAGCAAAAAAAAAAAAAAAAAAAAAAAAAAAAAAGAATGCTGTTATTCTGCCAAGAACAACTTTTCCTGAGAAATGTCCTAACAATACCCTCTGATAGTTACTAGCGGGGAAACAGCCCAAACCATTAGCTCCTCACAAAAGCGGGACCATCTTCACCGTTTAGCTAGTGCAAGTCGAGCTCTGGTCTTGGCGGGGGGTGGCCAACATAGCCTTGAAGGCAGGACCCCCACAGGCGCAGCCATAAAGGCATGAAAGTGTCCCGAGACAGCTTGCAGGAAAGCACTGGCCCGGATGGGGGGGGGGGGGGCACACAGACGAAAAGTCGAAGGCGTCTACGTGGCATCAACGCGAGGCATAAGGCGACTCCCATGGAAACCTGGTCAATGATCGCAATCTTCACCCCCAGCAACAAAGGTACCAGCCATGGGCCTCTGTCTCTCAGCCCAGGGCTGGCCTTTCTGCAAGCGTGACGGGCCTTCGGGTCCTGAAACATCAGTCGCCACGGGATCCCACCAGGCTCCCTGGCGAGGAGAGCACCGAGCCCTGAGCACTCACCTTCCCCGGGACCCCTCGCAGCACATCCCCCATGGGAAACACGCAAGGACCAGGTTCCATGGGCAGAGCGAGCTCAGGGACAGAGCAGTGACTCTGCATCTCTGCCCCTCGTGAGTCGGTAGTGGCTCCCAGCAGCCAGCTGCAGCCCCTGAGTAAAACTAGGAACAAAGGAGCATGAGGAGGCCCCGACCGAGGCCAGTGCTTGAGTCATCTGCCGACCGTGGCCCCCGCCAGCCTGGTTCCCTGCCACTGCCCCACCTCTGGTCTCCTGCTGTGGCCCCCAGAACAGTCCAGGGGCCTCAGTTGGTCAGTCAGTTGGTCAGTCGGTGGGTCGGGACGCCCAGCGCTGGAGCCAGGAACCAAGTGGCCCCTGGTTCCAGAAGCCCCCACCCAGCCAGAGCCTGCGGCAGGTGGCAGAACACATGAGCACCAAGGTGCACTGGGACCCCCAAGCCTATCGGGGAGGCCCTCCAAAAGGAACCCGAAAGCAACGTCCCAGGGCTGGAGCGATAGCACAGCGGGTTGGGCGTTTGCGTTGCACTTGGCCGACCTGGGTTCGATTCCCAGCATCCCATAGGGTCTCCGAGCACCGCCAGGAGTGCAGGAGTGATTCCTGAGTGCAGAGCCAGGAGGAACCCCTGAGCATCGCCAGGTGTGACCCCCCCAAAAAAGCAAAAAAAAAAAAAAAAGCAATATCCGGCCAAGGTAGAGCCCGGGGGACCATAAGGAAACTGACTGGCTAGAATCCCACATCTCAATGACGGGCTGGGATGCAAGTAACTGATGGATGCGGGGGGGTGCCCACGGAGAGACAGGAGCAAGCCTCAGTGGCAGCGCCATCAAAGGGACGCAGGGGGCTGGGGCTCCGTGAGGGGGACGGGCGTCTGCCCCGTCCACTGCCTCCTGTCTCTGGGAACTGGCCAGCCCTCACGTCTGCCCCCGAGATGAGGACAGATCTGCTCCCCTGAGGGGTGGGGGGGGGGGGGAAATGCTGATGGACAAGGGTCAGTGTGGACGGTCAGGACTGCAGGATGAGGCGAAGAGCGAAGCAGCAATGGGGCCTGGAACAGCAGGTGGACACGAGGGCCGTGAGCGGGGGAGGGGGGCCAGGGGGGCCTCCCTCAGGGCAGGGAACAAAGGTGCTCTGTCTGCGGGCCACACCCTGCCCGCAGCGCTCCTGCCCTCTGAGTCAGCGGCAGCGAGCCCGGGCAGGGTGGAGCGAGCGACTGTCTTCGGGACCCAAGGGACTCAAGAGCACAGGACCGGCCTCGCCGTCTTTCAGCCGCCCGTGGGGTCAGTCCGGGGTCAATGCTTCCAGCACAGTTAGACTCCTGACCAAAGATGCCGCTCGAGGGTGCCCACGCACAAACGCTCCAGAAAGGATGCCGCCCACTAGGCTCTCCAGCCACCCCTTCCTGCCGCGTGACCCGGGAAGGGGACGTGCTTCCCTCCTTCCCTCATCACCGAGGCCTGAACAAAGCACCCTCTCCCCTGGGAGGCCGTTCCCGACCACCTCCCCACCCAAGGATCCGCAGGACCGCCAAGTCCTCCTCCTGCCTGCCGCGGTCACTCTACTTCCTCCTGGGACACACTGCCCACGTCCAGTCACAGAATGCGAGCGACAGACACGGCCTCCCTGAGGATGCAGTTCCTCCACTTTAAGGCTCGGGGCTGTGCTGAGGGGCACCGGACCTGCTCAGGGCTTCCTGGTGTGGCACCGGGGCCGAGGATTAACAGGGCTGCTGGGCATCAAACTAAGGTTGGCGCCTGCCAGGCACGTGTCCGACTCGATGGACCCTTTTCCCACACCTAGCAGTGCTTAGGGCTTACTCCTGGCTCTGTGCTCGGAGACCACTCCTGGGGGCACCCGGGGGAAACCTTCTGCAGTGCCAGGGACTCAGCGGGGGTGAGCGAGGCGTAAGGCAAGCCCCTTACCACCGGGCATCCCCAAGGCCCACCTCTCCACTTGCTCAGTGCCCGGCGGGCACGTGTGCTCGGTAATTATGCGCTGAAGCATGAATGGAGGGAAGGTTTGGAAACATCCTTAAGTTACCTGGAGCCAGGCCGGGAGAATAATATTTATATAATTGGATGGGAAAGCATGTGAGAGAGGGGTGCAAGGCATTTTTCTTTTGTAGAACCTAAGCGGAGAGTCATCTACTTAACAATTAACGATGATACAACAGGAACCTGATCAATTTTTTTCTTCTTCATGTCCCTCTCACCTGACCTTCCATCTATGAGCAAACACACTCGTATTACCTAGGGGGTGGTTCCAGGAGAGTTTGACTCAAGCAACAAACATGGGTTTGGACACACGCTAGGGGAAAAGGGAGCTCAGACAGAGAAGGGAGCACCAAATAAAGGTGTTGGGAGGATCCCCCCAGGATGGGAGAAGCATGCTGAAAGTAGACTATGGACCGAACATGATTGCTACTCACTGTCTCTTTTGCAAACCACAAAACCCAAAAGGAGAGAGAGAACAAAAGGGAATGCCCTGCCACAGAGGCAGGGTGGGATGGGGGGGATGGGGGGGTGGGAGGGATACTGGGATCCATGGTGGTGGGAAATGGGCACTGGTGGAGGGATGGGTATTTGATCATTGTATAATTGAAACCCAAGCACAAAAATTTGTAAGTCTACAACTGTACCTCATGATGTCTCACTAATAAAAAAACAAAAAATAAATAAACATGGGTTTGGGCTTTCTGTTTTTATGGGAATGTTTTGGTTGGTTGGTCTCTGGGCCATGCTGGCTGTGCTCAGGGCCTACTCCTGGCTGTGAGTGCAGGACCATTCCCGGTGAATCTGGGATGGGATCGGGTGGGGGGTGGCACCGGGTCGGCCGTGTGCCAGGCAAGTGCCCTCCTTGCAATCCATCCACACTGGTCTCTGTTTTCTTTCTTGAAGTTGGTCTATTTTGGTAGGGGGCCTGATGGTTCTCAGGGGCTACTCCTAGCTTGGTGCTTGGGCCTGCTTCCAGCAGAGCTGAGGGAACCACGCAGTGCCAGGGACGGGGCTGTCCTGCAGAAGCCCTGACCGAGCCCCCACCCTCCCCCCAACGCCACCATGCCCTGGACACCACCCCCAACAGAAGCGGCAGGAAGTTTCCATTTGTGCGCTTTGAAAAGCTAAAACCAGGCAAGACGTAAATTCTGAAAGTCAAACTCCTATTTTCTACCATTCAGAATGCACGGGAAGAATGGGAACAATAGCTCAGATGCCTTTCTCTTCAGAAACCCCTCAGCAAACTCTCTCAGCATGCCCAAACCTTCAGCCACCTTCCCCTGCGGTAAAGAAATTTAACCCGAGTACGGAGATGTCTCCCAATTTGTGATGCAGCAGTGTTTTATGAAAGTCACTACTTGAAAGCAAGTTCAAAAAGAAAAAGAAAAAAAAAAACTAAGCAACAGATTTACTTGAAAAACAGTTAAATTAAAAATCTTTGACAAGTAGAAAACACTCTACTTACGATGTTCCCTGCTGAGAACTGGGGTGGGTTTGTGAAGACGTGTCATAGCGCTCTGTAGGGGTGAGGAGGGAAGGGGAACAGCATGAACGACAGGTTACTGGGCATGAGGCCCCCTGGCCGCTGTCCACTCCCACCCACTGCCCCCGCACCCCACCAGGCCCAGCTACCAACTACCAGCCACTGCTAGAGAAAGGACAAGCCGGGCTGGGTCTTGCTCTGGGCCCCCTCCCGTGGGCCCTGCAGGGGGGCGGCTCTCGGGGTCGGGCCGGGTGGACACCACGTGAGATGGACATGAACTGTGGGAGCCAGGACGGAGCGCCTTGGCCTCGTTTATCAGCAGGGAGCAGGAAAGGCCGGAACAGGACCCGCTCGCTTCTCAGGAAGACTCATGGGGTGCAACTGGACTCCCCAGGAAGGGCAGCCGGGCGGGCCTAGGGGCAGAGGCCTGGCGTGAGCCCCAGAGCCGGAGAGGCTGGCAGAGACCTGTGGGAAGGAGGGCTGCCACCAGCAACACGGGGAGTCCCGGCCACGTGCAATTAACAGCTGGTCCTCACGGTGGCAGCAGCTCGTATGTGATACTCAGCACTTCGTTGGGGCTAGTGAGTGACAGCCAGTCTAGGCCAGAGGGTGCGAGACACCCCTCTCCCCCCGACCTTGGGGACAAGCTGCAACCTGCAGGGGCGAGTGCCCACAAGCAGGATGCGAGTGAGACTCCCTGTGGATACAGTGTGACATGCCCGCTCGGTTTCTCGTGATCCCCTCCCCCATGGCATCCTGCCCAGAGGAGTGTCTAGACCCCACCGAGGCCCGAGAACGTCAGCGAGGTTCTCCTAGACCCCACACAAAGCGGCAGCCTCAGGGACAGGCCAGGACGCTCCCACAGGGACCAGAGCCACGCGCCGCCGGTCACCCCCGCATCAGTTTTTGGTCTTCACTTACTTTGGTTCTGGGTTGCAGACTTGATGTGCTGAGAATCCTAGAGAGAAGAAAAATTCTATTCAGGGGACCGCACTGCTGCTCGGGTCAGGTAGGACGCAGCTGAATTCTGACCTAAAACACGATTCTTTTGCTCTGGTTCTTTCCTACGTTTCTTTCTTTCCCTGAAGCAGCACAGGGATTGATTGATTTATTTATTTAGAAAAAATGAAGTATGATATTCTACGTAACCGGCAATGAAGAAAACCTCACGATCACGACGATCACGACGATTGCCTCGAGCAGGCCCCGGTAACGTCTCCTTCGTCCTAGCCCTGAGATTTTTTTTAAAAGTGCCATATTCAAGGCTCTTTCAGAGTTAGGAGAATGAGACCCTTCATTGTTACTGGTATTTGGCATATTGGGTACGCCACGGGGAGTTTGCCAGACTCTGCCGTGTGGGCAAGTTACATTCGGTAGCCTGCCAGAAAACCTATCAGAGACAACGCAGAAGGTACTGAACGTGACAGTCCTGGGCCCGGATGACACATAACCTCCTTCAGGAAGTTACGGGATCGATGCTCCTTAGCGTAACACACGTGAGAGAGCTGGCCACCGGGTGCCCTTACACACCCGAGGCAGACACAACACAGAGGATGGCAGTGCGTCTAGCACACGCTCACGAGCACGCCGTCAGAGCTGCTCCTCGTGCCATGAGCCAGCGCCACGGCCAGGGCCAGTGCAGGGGCTGAAGAGCCACAAAGGCGGCACCCGGTCACTCCTGGCACCGCATGTGGCCCCCGAGCACGGCCAGGACGGACCCCTGGACACAGAGCCAGGAGTGAGTCCTGAGCACGGCCGGCGCTGCCACAAAAACCAAACCCAAGCCTGATCTCTCGCCGACGTGGGCTCTAAAGAAAGGCAGGAAGGGAACAAGAGGCCACGGTCGGTGGAACCCGAGGACAGGCCTACAGGGCTGACCATGGGGGGGGGAGGGGCGGGGAGAGCCAGGGGTGCAGAAGGGCCGAGGGTGCGGTGCGGTGTTGGAGCCCCGAAACGCCTGGAACCCTATTATCAACCATCATGGTGTTTTTTTTTAAAAAGAAAAGAGAAAAATTTAGAGGTTTGAAAAGTTGTGTGGGTATGTGTGTGTGTGTGTCTCTGTCTGTGTGTATGTGCCTGTGTGTGTGTCTGTGTGCATGTGTGTGTGTCTCTCCGTGTGTGTGTCTGTCTGTGTGTATGTGCCTGTGTGTGTGTCTGTGTGCATGTGTGTGTGTGTGTGTGTGTCTCTCCGTGTGTGTGTCTGTCTGTGTGTATGTGCCTGTGTGTGTGTCTGTGTGCGTGTGCGTGTGCGTGTGTGTGTGTGTGTGTGTGTGTGTGTGTGTCCGTATCTGGGTTTTTGCCTGAAGGGGGGAACTTCAGCCAGTACTGGGGTGGGGTCTGGGCATGGCCCCGCCCACCGTCTTGCCTCTTTCCAGCCTGATCTCCAAACTCGGCAACCAGAGACCCTTCTCTGGGGCAGATGAGAACTGACACGGCATCACAGCGGCCTGCCCGCACTGACTAGCCCTGCACTGCATCGGGAGCAGATGCGCCCACACGCGGGAGCTTAATTCCGATTTTCCCTTTATTTCACGGGGCTCTCTCTTGCTCTCCTCAGGGGAACTCTGCCCCGGCTCTCCGATGGGTTAGGTTTCTCTCTCCGCCCCCTCCCTTTCCATAAAATGTCTTGACGTCAAAAAAGAAATTCTTGCTGACACAACCTGGAAGACAAGGCTTTTGAAAACACCATGAATTCCTGCAGAGACGAAATTCCCAAAAACTTCAGCCTAAATCTCCAAAGATTTTGACCAGCGTTAGTTGAGTCATCGGACTCGGAGCAAAAACTTCTGACTTCCGCCTGGCAAAGGCGCAGGGTGGCCGCCCCGTGCAGTTAGTTACCTTCGTGGGAAAAGGGAATTTGGACGGCTCCGCCGTACTCGGCGTGTGTATTGCTGTCAGAGGGGGAGGCCAGGAGTGGGTCATTTCCTGGAAAGAGACGTGGAAAGAGAAGAAAAATGTCAGTTTTATGTCTATCATTTATTAAGACCTAACTTTTAAAACCACTGGTGAATAAAATGTAAAACCATGCAACTTCATTTATTTAAAAAAGATGCAACGTGGGGCTGGAGCGATAGCACAGCGGGTAGGGCGTTCGCCTTGCACGCAGTCGACCGGGGTTCGATTCCCAGCATCCCATAGGGCCCCCCGAGCACCACCAGGAGTCATTCCTGAGTGCAGAGTCAGGAGGAACCCTTGAGCATCACTGGGTGTGACCCAAAAAGCCAAAAAAAAAAAAAAAGACGCAATGCATTTTTTTAAAAAGTCAACAACTTTAACGTACTCTGTTGAAAGGCTCCAGATCTCCCCCTGACAGACAGACACCAGTGGGCGCAGGGCACAAGCGCAGGGTAGGCAAGCACGGGCAGTTCCAACCCTCTGAACCGAACCCCGGGAGCGGATGGAGGCTGTGAGAAACATTTCCAGAACTTCTGTAACTGAAAACCCAGCCTCCACTCAGGGCTTTCTTTCTCGCTCAACTTCTTTATTGCATTTCCTGGAATTATTTAAGTTCAAAGGAAGAACAGCCTTCCTGTTTGACTTAAGCAAACAAGTAATTCAGGTCACTTGTTCCACTTGGGAGAATCTTAATGGACTTGACCCTTCCCTGATCCACATTATTAGGCCCGAAGAACCATTGTGGAGGAGCGGGCCTCGAAACAACAGCGCCTCGCCTCGCCGTGAAATGAGACGGAATCTCTAGCCCCTCGATCTTCCGGAAAGCAAGATTTCTGAAATCTAGAAATGAGTCTTTTTACCTCGACTTTGATTTTTCACCTAGCCCCATTCACGAGCTGCATTCTGCTTTCCCTAAAAAGGGGCAGACTAAAGACTGACAGAACAGCACGTCCACGACAGGCCTCTGGCCACGGCCCGAGCAGGGTCAGCGGCCGGTTTTGGGGGGGCTGGTGCCAGCCCTGGGCTCTCCCTACCCACACGCCCCGTTCTGAAGAGCTGAAGACTGTCACCTCCGTGAGTTCCGGAGATGAGAAGCCCAAAGTCCAGTGCTGCGAGGCAGAGGCTGGGCCTCCCCGATCCGTGCAGGTGGACGGGGGAGACGGTCCAGGTGGGAGGCACCTGCCCTGGCTGCGGCCCACCCAGACATCCCCCAGGGTCGAGTCCCCACAAGGAGTAACGCCCGAGCACAAACATGGCACCACGAGGTGGCCCCAAAACAGAAGCAGAGAATCCAGGGAGCAAACAGTTCACAGGGCTGGAGAGAGCGTGGCGTGGGCGAGGCCAGCCTGGGCTCAAGCCCAGCACTGCCAGGTGCAAAAGAGAACAGGCCACAGACCCCGAGGGGGACCAGCAGCAGGCCATGCCCCGGGCGGCTGCAGTCCCCGCTGGGGCCGCCCGCCCTCCTTCACCCACGGAGGGGTCCCGGCAAAGCCTGTCCTTGTGTTTCTCACAAGAGCCCCCGAACACACACACAGACGGACACACACACGCACACACTCACACACACACACACACACATGAACCACCAGCACAGTGAGAAGCAAAGGAACCAGACACATCCACACCCCCAGACAAATGCACACACACACATGTTCATGCACACGCACCCATACACACGAACCACCAGCACAATGAGAAGGAAAGGAACCACACACACACACACACACACACGCACAGCAAGAAGCAAAGGAACCAGACATACACACACCCCCCAGACAAATGCACACACATCCATACACACACACACACACACACACACACGAACCACTGGCACAGTGAGAAGCAAAGGAACCACACATAGACACACACAAACACACACACACGAACACACACATACACACACGCACCACCAGCACAATGAGAAGGAAAGGAACCACACACACACACACACACACACACACACACACAAGCACAGCAAGAAGCAAAGGAACCAGACACATACACACACCCCCAGACAAATGCACACGCATCCATACACACACACACACACACACACACACGAACCACTGGCACAGTGAGAAGCAAAGGAACCACACATAGACACACACAAACACACACACGAACACACACATACACACACGCACCACCAGCACAACGAGAAGCAGAGGAAGCAAACTGAGGCTTTCCCTGTCCTTCGCGTCAGGGTGGGATCCCGCCCAGCGGCTGTGCTGGGTCCCTGTCCCCTCACGGGGAGCCAAGAGCGGGGCCTGCCCCACGCCCAATGACCGCAGCACAGAGACCGCTGGTCGAGGCGCCAGACCGTGGCACATAGGGAGGTGGCCACAGGCCACTCGGGGGACCCATGGCCTGGCGGATGTGCCCTCAGTGCAGTGTGGGCGGGGTCAGCCTGCCCAAGCAACAGGGCATCTGGGGCCAGCGCAGACGGCCAGGCACGTGCCGCGAGGACATGGAGCGGTGGGCATCGCTGTCCCGCACTTCCCAGGGGCTCCGACACCCCAGGTCCCCTCAGGACTGCGGCTCATCCAGCTGCGAATCCACGCACTTGCCATGGCCCTCAGTGGCCGGCGGACACTCGCCACACGTCACACACACTCAAGGCCTCGGCAGCCGGGGCGAGGAAGAGCCGGACCCTCCATCCAGCTCACCTGTCACAGTGCCCTGCAGCTGCCGGCTCGGTGTGGGCAAAGACAGAGAAGCGGCGGCCGGGCTGCCCACCTGCAGCTGCCGGACGGTGCCCAGCGGGGAAAGGCTGGAATGCCTCGATCTGTCTCTATCTCTGCCTTGGTCTGTCTCTGTCTCTGCCTCTGACTCTCTCTGTCTCTCTGTCTCTGTCTCTCTGCCTCTGTCTGTCTCTGTCTCTGCCTCTGCCTCTGGCCTCCCCTTTGAGGCCCCCTGCTGTGTCACTCTGACCTGGACCAGTGCCCACATCACAGCCACGCGTGGCCTCGCCCACACAGGGGCCACCTGACACGGCCGAGGGTCTGCGCTTGCCCATCCCCAGCCGAGCCTTCTGTCCCGTCCATGGAAACACTGTCCCCAGGGGCCGGGACAGAGCACGGCCAGGAAGAACGCCGACCTGCTAGGAATCCCCCGAGCACTGAGCTGAGTGAGCGTTCAGCCCTGCACACCGCCGGGGGGGTGTGGCCCAGAAACAACAAACAGAAACCCGGGCACCTTAGCTGCGGTGCTGCAGAGAACGGGGCAGGGTGGTCTCTGCTGGAGCCCGTCTCTACAGAACTGGCTCCTGTCTCTACTGCTCATCACGGGGCCGTGCCTGAAGTCCGGGTAAAACTTACAGATTGCTGGTACAGATAAGAACAGGAACTAGAACCGACTCTCTCTGCTGGAATGACCGGAGGGGGGAGAGAGAGGAGGTGGGGGAGGGAGGGAGGGGAGGGGAGGAGAGAAAGGAAGGGAAGGAAGGAGAAAAAGAGGGAGGAAGAAGGAAGTGAGGGAGAGGGATGGAGGGAGGGAAGGAGAAAAAGAGGGAGGGAGGGAGAGAGAGAGTGCTAGATAAAACGGCCTGTGCCAGGGCCTCTGTTCAGCGTCTGGGCAGCTGGACCGCCCACGTCCCCGAGGCACAGACGGAGAGCCGGGGGCTGACTCGTGCCCTCACGCGCTGGTCCCTACCCGGGACATCCTCTATTTGCTTTCCCAATTTGTGATTTCCAAAGAAAATAGCATCCCTTTGTTGCATTAATATTTGCTTTCAAGCATTTCCAGGAGAGCAACAAAGCATCAAAATGCAGCTGGCTGGGTGAGGAGCGAATCTATCCAAGTGAAAATGCTTGTCTGGGGCGAGAGAGAGAGAGAGAGAGAGAGAGAGAGAGAGAGAGAGAGAGAGAGAGAGAGAGAGAGAAAGAGAGAGAGTCGGGAGGGGGCAGGACACTGGCGGCTGATCCCTGTTCCGTCCCAGAGCACCACGTCAGGAGCAGCCTGTGGACACCAGTGGGGTGGCGCGACCCTTCCCCCATGCCTGTCTGCTGCCGTGACCTCCTTACGTCAATCCCGGGGTTGACGGGTTATCCATTAAACGCCCATCAAAACCCTAGCGGACCGTTTGATGCAAGCAGAAGACGACAAACCCACGCTTCCATTCACTTTGGGAAAAAAAAAAGTACAGAACAATCGACAGAAGGAGAAAATGCGAAGCCTGTACTTTAAAACTACCTTTTGGTTTTTTTTTTTTTTATGACTTTTCCTACCAAACTCTTTCAGAAATAGCAGGGGGAAAGGATGAGACAAAAGTCTGATCGCCGAGAACTTGCTTTACCCTTAGTTACTTCTTCAATTGCTTCCCAGAATCTGGCGACACACAGCTTTTGTCAAAAACCTCATCAAGGAGAAGGAAACCCACATATTCCAGCGGGGACTCAGGGTCGGGGGAAGGGCAGGAGCAGCGGCCAGACGGGCCTACGGTGACACACGTCACAGCCGCTTCCACAGGGCGGGAGCTCAGGGTGGAGGCCGGGCGTGTTGGGCCACGTGACAGGAGAAAAGGAAGAGCCATAGCAGAGGAGTTAGAAGCAGACCCCTCAGTTATCACAGGACTGTACTGAAGCCTTACATTTGGGGGGGGGTAATACTTGGAGATGCTCTCAGGAATCACTCCTGCCTGGCGGCGCTCGGGGGACCCTATGGGATGCCGGGAATCGAACCCGGGTCGGCCACGTGCAAGGCAAACGCCCTACCCGCTGTGCTATCGCTCCAGCCACCTGAAGCTTTACATTTAGTTCTAGAATGCTTGAAAATTAAAAAAGAAAAAAAAAAAGGAGGGGGGAACAGAACAGCTTATGAAATTCTTCTGATGGAAAAATGGAGGCTCCAGGTGGTGGAAGAACAGTGCAGGGGGCTGGGGGCTTGCCCTGCCAACCTGCTGACCCCTACACCCCGCCGTCAGGTCCTGGGCAACACAGAAGAGACGCCCCAACACAGAGCCGGGACTCAGCCCCGGGCAGGGCCCCAAAACAAACAAACAAAGCCCTGCTGATTCATGATGCCTGAGAGCAGCTCCCCGTAGAAAGGAAATTCGAGAAGAAAATGGCCATTCTTGTGCAAGAAAAGCCCAACAAGTGGGTGACAGGTCCGGGGACGCTGCTCGGGGCGGCACAGACGACCCTTCTGGGCCAACACGGACCGCCGCTCCTGACCCCTTCCGAGACTCCTGATCTCTGAAGACGAGGCCGCTATGGGGTGTCCCTGCCTGGACACTAAGGGGTTTCCACACCGCCTGACCGGCCCGGCGCGGGGCTTGACCCGAGAAGCTGAGATGGCTCCCTCCTCTGTCGCTACCGACCCTCCCCAGACCCCCTCTTGGAGAGCATCGTCCTTTACTTGGCCCTGGGAGCGCCGAGAGCACTTTAGAGCGGGTCTGCCTTCAGCAGGGAGGGGCCGTGCCAAGGAACTTACCTTCAGGATTTCTTCGACGCAATGCGCTTCATTGGAGTAGGTCAGCTGCAAGGGAGAGAGGCAGGGTTAGCTCACGGGGCAGCAGAGACCACGCGGGAACACGCTCCGAGGCGGGACCACCCCCAGGGCCCACCTTTCCTGCTGCTGGACGAGATCGAACCGAAGCCAAGCCCACGGGCGGAACTGTGGGGGTGCAAGGTTCGGCCGGGAGCCAAGGCGAACCAGCTACCCCAACTGTGTTCGGGAAAATCGGAACAGCGGCGAGTGGAAGGGAAGGGCAGACAGCGCAGAAGTGGAAGCAGGCAAGTTCTCCCGTATCTCTGGGCCTATCGGCTCTGCCCCCGTAACCTCCCGCGTGTGACACGTGCAGACGTGCTCACAAGCAGACGCGCACACAGACACACACACCACACCTTCCCCGAGGGGCTTGGGGCGGCCACATCTTATCTCTTCCTCCCTGTTCCTCCATGACCACAGGGCCTAAGGAATGTGCCGGACTGTCTCACTGCACGGGGACTCCTCTGAGTCTTACTATGGTACGTCTGATCGTTCTCCCTGCGCCGGACACAAGGAACACAGCCCACAAAGTGGTTTTCAAAGGAGACAACCCTTTGAACGCACGCGCACGCACACACAAACACACACTCACACACACATACACACACACAAACACTCATACAAACTGTCTCTCACACACTCACACACACTCACACAAGCATACACATATACACACACTCACTCTTACACACCACACACACACACACACACACACTCACACACACACACTTACACACACATAGTGCTCTGGGTGGAACTGAAAGGATTCGGCAAAGGCAACACTCAGGCTTTGGGGGTGGGCCGGGCTGTAGGGCAGGGAGGGTGGTGTGTGTGTGTGGGGGGGGGGGTGAGAATTGGGAGCAGGGAGGCGGGACCCGGCCCAGGGCCTCCGACATGCCCCGGACGTGCCCTAGCGCCTGAGTCCCACCCCGGCCCGGGATCATGTTCCTCGTGTGTGACACTAAACAGTTCACGGCTGTGACTTTGGGAGAAGAGTCCGGTCAGTGTACATTTAACCCAAACACCAAGCTTGTCCATGATCAGAGCAGCGGCAGGCCCTGCGCAGAGAGCAACAGGATCTACCCGCTCGCCCTCGGGCATCTCAGAACCGACACGGAGAGCCGGGAAAACCCAGAGCGAACCTTCGGGACCGAGCCCTGGAGAGCCACGGCAGAGAGAAGCAAATGCTCTGGTCTGCTTGTGGGTGAGACCCCGTTCTGCACGGCCCTGCTCTTGCCATGCACCATCCGAGAGAACTGCAGGTTAAGGTTGAACCCGCGGGACAGAGCGCAGGATCAGACTCACTGTGCTCAAACTCCCCTTCCTGCGACGCTGCTGGAACGAGACCAGGAATCTGATCAATCTACCGAGCGAGCACAGAGACTCGGGAGCAGGTTGGGGTGAGCAGAAGAGGCCATCTGTCCACTGTCTCCCGGAGAGCCGGCCAGAGCGCCACGGCGTCAGGGGAACCAAAGGCTTCTTGGCTTTCACGAGTCAGTGGTCAAGGCCGAGTCACAATGTCGGATCATCACCAAAGCCCAAAGTTTCTAGTTCTCACGTGAGGTGAGAATCCCCGGAACTGACCCAATCCATCTCCTTCGGGCCGGCGAGGAGTCGGGACCGACTCTGGGACGAGTCCCAGACAGACTGAGAGTCTGGCACCCAGAACGAGCCCAAGGCTCCAGCACGGGCCGGCTACTTGCTGGGGGTTTCCCGGCAGCTGGGTGGGATGGTCGCACCTCCAGGGGGCAGGGCCTGCACCCCCACCCAGGAGGCACGTGGAGAAGGAGGCCACCAGGGCCCGGTGGGAGATGCTGGGGGCCCCAGACTCAAGGCAGAGATCCCACTGACAGAGAAACGCCGGTCCCCCGGACACTGCCGCCGGCAGCGAGTCAGCAGGGCCAGAGGCCGCTGTGGGAGGCCTCCCGCCCCGTCCCCCCCCGCCACCCTGTCCCCCCCGCCCACCCTTCCTGCCGCTCACCCAGGGCCCTGCTCAGCACGGCCGCGGCAGGCAGGACTTCCGCCAGGGACCCGGGCAAACCACGGCAGAGCACGGCCGGGCCACGCGCCAGGAGAGGCCTCGCACGCCCTGGCTCCCCGCCACCAACTGTCAGGGCTGCACTGCCCGCAGGAAGGGCGACTCCGGCCACCAGGGAAAACGGCAGCACCCCCACCTGCATCTGCGTGCGTGCACACACACACACACACACACACACACACACACACACACACACACACACCACACACGTGGGCATACACAGGCACACACACGCACACACATGTATACTCGCAAACATGCACACACATTCACACACATGTGCACATGTACACATATACCCACACATGCACATTCTTGCACACCCACACGCACACACTCACACACATGCACACACATGCATGCACACACACACGCTTGCACACACTTGCACACATACTCGCACACATGTGCACATATACACATATACTCACACACACTCGCCTATACACACACTTACACACATGCACACATGCACACAGACACACACACACGCCCACACACGCACACACTGGCACTGAGCCAACTCAGCTGTCCTTGCTGGCTCCCCGCTGCCCCTCACCAGCAGCTATGCCGCGGGCGGGGCCGGGCGGGGCTGGCAGGAAACGTGCCCTGACACGAGGCTCTCTGCAGACACAGTCAGAGCGAAACGGCTCACGCGGGCCCCACTGCGACAACAGCAAACGTGCCTGCCTCGTAGGCGGGAGGGTTCCGAGCCCCAGGGACATACGCAAGTCCCAGTGCCACGGGGAGCCCCGCGAGCAATGTGCCCACCAAAGCAGCCCCCAGAGGCACAGCCGGCAGGAGAGAGTAAGGGCTGGGACCCCAGCGTGGTGCAGACACACAGCTAGGGGCTGGGCCCCCAGTGTGAGTGTGAAGACTTCAGTTAAGGCTTTCGGAGCTTTGTGAAGGGGAAGGGCCGGAGCAATAGCACAGCGGGTAAGGTGCTTTCGCCTTGCTCGCGGCCGACCTGGGTTCGAGCCCGGCATTCCCTGAGCACCACCCGGAGAAATTCCTGAGTACAGAGCCAGGGGGAAGCCCTGAGCATCGCTGGGTGTGGCCCCAAAACAAACCAAACAGAACCGCAGGTGAAAAGATTCCATGTGCAGCAAAGGAACACAAATTCTCCGGCAGCTTCTTTCCCTTTGAGTTCTCGTCAATAACTGACTCATACCGCGACGGCAGACCGCGGCCGTCTGATTCCCAGAGATTGTGAAACGGCTGCCACACGGGCTCGGCCCACTGAGGCCTGTTCTCAACCCCCGACTGCCGGCAGAAGGGAAGGCTAGCATCTGGGGCCCGGGGCGAGCTGCAGGAGTCTCCTTGCATTCCGCAAATAAACGCTGCTGCCCGGAAAGAGACGGAGAGGGACAGGCTTATTCACGGCCACCAGGAAGCCCCAGGTCACTGGCCGCAAGTGCCCAAGGCAGCTTTGATGTGGACAGCCGGCCACAGCACTGGCCGGGCGCGTGTGGGAAGAAACGGGCAGTCACCCCGCAACACAGGCTCCTCCCTCCGGCCTGCAGACCACCCCCCACGCTCTCCCAGACGGGGTCCCTGCCCACTCCTCTCTATGCCACGCGAGGGAGGTTGTCCCGTGTCTGCCTGGCGCCTGGTGAGCGAGCGCCCGTCCGGTCTGCCTGCAGTGGGCACCGGAGTACAGGCAGCTTTTCGGAACAGTTTTTCGGCCCTTGGACTAGACGCCGGACGGTGGAACTGCTGGGGCACATGGAAGCCAAGTTCCTAGTTGTTATTTTGAGGCCACACCCGGCGGTGCTCGGGGCTTTCCCTGGGCCCGGGCTTCCCTCCTGGTGCGACTCCAGGGATGTCCCGGGTGCCGGGATCGAACCCCAGTTGGTCACGTGCAAGGCAAGTGCCCTACCCGCTCTGCCATTGCCCTAATCCCTTAATTCCTAGTCGTTCGTTTATTTGGCACCTGCAGGCCCCTCACCAGAGGGAAGTTGACCTGACCAGAGCTTCCCACCTGCAGGTGAAGGGTCACCAGCAGGTAAGATGTTCTCCCAGAGGCAAATGACATTACTGACGTCTCTTTTGACTTTCACCAACCAAAGTGGGTCTAGGGGTGTCAAAACAAACCAACGACAACGACAACACAACTTGATGAAAACAAGACAAAACCCTCCCCCGAACCGAAACTTAGGAACCTTCACAGGAAGAAGTCTTTTGAGCGAAACAGTAACTTGCAGCTCGATATGAATAACCAAACCCGTGAAGCAATTTCCTAGTTGGTGTCGCAAAAGTAATCCCCTAAGTATAAAATGATTTAGAGCTCCTAATATACACGAACTATGCTCCTTATAAGAGCATTGAAAAGGTTGTTGATTTTATTAAAAGAAGTCACCTTTTAATGAAGGAACCTAGACTCTGGCTCCGAATCTCTCCTTTAAAATGAACAGAAATCCAAGTGTGAGCAGCCGTCCTCCACATAATTAATTATAAGCACTTAACTGCTATAAACACCCCAGCAGATATGGGGGGGGGGGGGTGTCATAAAACGCCTGGTGCCTTTGCCCGGTTACTCCGGTGTTTCCTGAGATTAGATAAAGGCCTGAATTCCTGATATGCTCCTCCAAGATTTCTACAGTCCTTTTTTAAAAACAAAAAACAGCAGCTTTTTGGGGTTGGAGCAATAGCACAGCGGGGAGGGTGTTTGCCTTGCACGCGGCTGACCTGGGTTCGATTCCCAGCATCCCATAGGGTCCCCCAAGCACCGCCAGGAGTGATTCCTGAGTGCAGAGCCAGGAGGAACCCGAGCATCGCTGGGTGTGACCCAAAAAGTAAAAACAAAACAAAAACAGCAGCTTTTCACAGACAAAAAAATACTCCTTATTGCTGCCGCTTCCACGGACACACAGACATGTCTGGAGGTAATCACGCGCGTGGGGCCTAGTGTCCGGGTGTGGAAGTTCAGGGGGAAACAGAGTCTCGGCAG